TCACATCGCGGGATGGTCGGTGGTGTGTTCTCCCCGTCATCTAGAGTCGGACGCAAAAAGACAGCTCAACAGATCGGCTTTCTCCTTTGCGGCATGGACCAGTGAGTCGTCTTCTCTGTGCAGAGATGGAAGAGATGGCTGACAGAAGTTCCCTTGGACAGCCTTGGCGAGAGACCAGAATGCATGGGTTCCCGAAGGAAGGCGATCTAGCTTTTCGCCAATTCTGCCGATGTGCTCAGACCTTGCCTTGGCAATGACGCTTTTGAAGGATCTGGAGGCGGAATTATACTTCTTTTTAAGTGCACTGGTGTTTACATCCCGAGACGTTGATGCGTAAGCCCAGGCCCGGTAGCACTCCTGCTTATAGCGTGATGCTATTTTACAGGAGCGACCAAACCATGGCTGGGATCTGCCTCCGATGGGCACCACAGAGGATGGAATAAAAAGTTCCATACCCTGAAGTACCATATCAACAACAGAATCGGCAACAACGCTGGGATCTTCCGGCAAGAAGCAAACCCGCCCCCAAGGGTAGGATGCAAAAAAAGACCGCATCCCGTCCCAATCAGCTGACCTATAGTGCCAAACACGGCGGCAGGCTGCAGATCGCAACTGCGATTGAAGCGTGAGTGGCATCGTACTCCGGATCAGACAATGGTCCGAAGAGCCCAGAGAGGCATCGACGGAGACCTGATATCCGTCCGGATGAGAGGTCAGCAGAAGGTCCAACAGGGAAGGTACATGGTCTTCCACATCTGGGATCCGCGTAGGCGAAGTAAGCAGTTGTGTTAGACCATATGCCAAAGCAAAGTCATAGACAGATCTCCCCGCATGATCGGTTGAACGAGAACCAAGCCATTCAGCTTGGTGGGCGTTAATATCACCGAGTATCACGATCTCTGCGGATGGGACCTGTTGTAGCACGGAGTCTACAGCCATTTGAACGTGGTCGATGAGTCGGTCTGTGTCGGCATTACCGCTATAGGACCTATAGAGGCACACGTAGACGCGGGGATGGTCGTCGCTGTCTACGCGCAGCCATAGGATGGACAGGTCCGTACCTTCAAGACTGCCGAGGCGTCGAAAACAAATGTCCTCTCTGACGTATACGCAAACTCCAGCCCGGGGCACAAAGGAGTGTTCCAATTTGTACCCCGGGTAGGAGAGATATGAAGTATCAGCCGGAGAGGACACCTGAGTCTCGGTTAAAAAGAGCAAGGCCGGCTTCGCCGTCTCTAGATGGTAATGGACAGCGTTAACGTTGGAATGAAGTCCCCTGATGTTGCAAAAATTCACGGATAGCGTGACAGGGGTCGCCTTGGTTGTATTGCTCCGCTTGCCCCGAGCAGCATTAGTCGCGAGCGGAATTTTGCCCCCCCCCCTCCTCAGAATACGCGGGGCGGCCTGAGCACCCACGCTCAGGAGTGAAGTAGTTTGGTCGTGGATGCTCAGCGAGGGATTCTCCAGGGGTGCTGGTACCCTCCTGGGGTAGTCTTTTATTTAATTCCACTACCATGTTGATGGGAGGGGGGGGGGGATTAGGCCTCCGGCCACCTGCACTCACCAAGCGCAACGCAGAGGTAAACCTCTACTTCACGCTGGTATTCTGTGAGGTCGTGGTACCACCCCGGTTCGAGCTGGCCCATTCGTGCGACAGCAAAAGCTACCGCTTAGCTCTACCACTGTTAAATTATAAAATACTTATTTTGTATAGTTTATTATGGGCCAAATTTGCAGAGAAGGTTCAGAATAAGTAATATAGGCAAATGGTGGAGAAAAATTAATTTAAAAAAATCTCAAACATTCTGTCCTTTTTATCTTTTAAATTCAAAATGCCTATTAACGCATTATTTGAACTGACTGTCATTCATAAATATCTAACGCCTACTATTTGACTACGCACGCCTACATTCGTAAAGGCGATCGGTTGGTAAAAACATTGAGAATTGAATCGCACACAGAGGAGCATGCGTAGTCGTTGCCCATAAATCACATTCAATTTGGAATAATTTCAAATAAAAATAGAAGCCTTATATTCTCGAATTTTCAAAAACTGCAATTATAGTATATTTGAATTTAAGCTTAAAATTTGACTACTGTTTGAAAAATAACCCTGTATAACGTTTTTCTGCAGTGCTATTTTTCATCGTAGACAAGCAATCATCATAGTTATATTCACCCCAGATCACTGGCATACATACTTTTAAAATAGTCATTCTTCAGCAGTGTGTGTGTGTGTGTGTGTGTAAGTGAAAATCTATTATTTTGCCATTACAAACAGATACTCCAATTTATATTTGAAGATATATAGATTTACAGATATAGACTAAAGTTTTGGCTAAATAATGTTGAATTTCATGGTCTTCTATTAACTTACAGATTCATGATTATTTACGATATTTTATTCATAACATTGACACTATATTACGGTTAACAATACATTATATATATTGTCGACCTTTACCCGTATGCAAATATTTCTCGTGTCTGTTTTGTCCCCAATTCATAATAATAATGTGATGCATTTCCTTACACAGCCACCTCAAAGGTCAATTTGATTTAGAATAAACAATAACGTTACTGAATTATACACCAAAGAGTTAATTATAAATATTAAAGTAATCTACAAAACTTTAGCGAAAAATTTCTGTTTAACATAACTTTCAAGGCTTTAGAATGTGGTTCCAAAAAACTTCTAGCGTCTAAATAAGCGGTGGCAGAAGTCCTTGACCCTGCTAAGTTTCAAAGGTCAGGTGAGAAGTGGCTTTCACTTCATGTTCTGGCACTTATACAAAACCACACTCAAAAGCCTCTTTTCACGATGATAAACCTACGTGCAAAATAAAACCATAAATTTATTCATGTTTGACGGCTCTGTAGCGCAGTGGCTTAGCAATGAGTTGCTGCGCTGGGTGCCGCGGGTTAGAATCCCGCACGGAACAAGTATTTGTATGGCCCGCAAATAATTGTTCCTGGTCTGGATGTTTGTCCTTGTGCAATTTATGTTTGTAAACTGCCTTCACGATACAGGAGAAAATCTTAGTGTGGGGGTAACGTTTTTAAAAAAAAAATCAATACTGGGGCTTATTTCAATGCAACTTTTCGATAAATATGATAAGTAAATAAAGCCGTTTGTATCGTGGTAGCTCAGGGATTACCTCTCTCAGAAAGAAGAGAAGCGTTGAAGTGATGTATCCAGACTATAACTAAATAAAACATATTTTTAAAATCTGCCCTATTTCTAAAAAAAAAATATAAACTTTGTACTGTAAAATTTTAAACGGAATTATATACCAAATGAAATGTTCTAAGCATAATGATGTACTGATCATGAATAACCTATACATCTAAACTTATAAATAAAATTTAAGTGTCTGTCTATAATATCGAAATGACTGCCGGGGATTATATACTCGTACATGCTAATAAACATGTATAACATTTTTTTTTTTATTTTTGTGTGTATGTCCTTCCGGGCTCATCTTCAAAATGACATAATCGATTGTGATGAAACTTTCCGAACGAAAAAGGGAGCAATACCAGGAGAGGCTATATTATATCCGAGCAACATGGAGGATTTAATGTATTTGTAACACATATTTTACATAAGTTTTTCTGTACTCTTTCTCCTTATAAAACTTTACTATACTCTCCTCAGTGCGCGCAATATGTTTTAAAAGGAGTACAAAGTTTTATATTCACGTATAATTATATACCAGTAAGTAGATAAGATAAATTTAACCGATCTTTAAATTTTACTTCAAACATTATTCCATAACGTACATAGTTTTTGAGATAGTAGAAAAAAAACTAAGTTAAAATGGCTTTTTAGCTCCCGACAGAAAAAGAACGGTCTTATAAGTTTGATCGCTATGTGTGTCTGTCTGTGTCACCGAAGCTCTTAAACGGGTGAAACGATTAGGGTGGATAATTTTATTTAAAAAGGTTTTCTAGCGGTGGTTCTTAGACATGTTTTATCAAAATCGGTTTAGCCGTTTCAAGGTCATCAGCTGTTTTATTAGCTGCGGAAAGGTTCTTTTCGGGAGGTTTTAAATTTTTTTGACCATTATTATAAATATGCAAGATTTTTTTTGGTTATACGCAAATGTAGTGGTGGGTAAAAACTAGTCTACTTAATAAATTTTGTATTACCACATTTCGCCAGTCTGCGAAACTTATATTCGATATTTCGATATTTAAATAGATATACCGACATCAGCCCATCAAAATACACTAGTCCGTCAATCAGTAGGCTCACCTAGTACGAGTGGCTTAGGAATTCAGAAAAATGTTGGCACACTACGTATTGATGGTAGAAAAGGCAGAGCGGGAAAGTATTTCATGCCGGCACACCGCCTGCAACTTTACAAGGCGCAGGTTCGGCCTCACATGGAATACTGTTGAAATCTCTGGACTGGGGCTCCCCAATGCCAACTCCTTCCACTTGACCGCATCCAGCGCAGAGCGGCTCGAATCGTCGACGACCGAGTCCTTTCCGATCGGCTCGATTCACTGGCACTGCGAAGAGATGTTCCATCTCTTTGCGTATTTTATCGCATCTAGCACGGAGAGTGCTCTGAGGAATTGTTCGGACTAATGCCATCCACCCAATTTCACCATCGCACATCGCAACAAAACTCGCGGTACCATCTATACCATCTGGATGACTGGCGGTCCACCACTTTGTGATTTAGAAGAAGTGTTCTTCCTCGCACAACTTCCTTGTGGAATCGATTACCACCAGTGATTTTCCGGACCAATACGACTTAGGGACCTTCAATAAAAGAGCCTACTTCTTTTTAAAACGTCGGCAACGCATCGGCAATTCCACTGGTGTTACTGTTGATCATGGGCGGCGGTACTCACTTACCATCAGGAGAGCCGCATGCTCGTATGCCCCCTCTCCTACATAAAAGAAATAGTTTTTAGAAATAATCAGTAAAATTTTACAATAATATTTTACATATAACTGGAATATATTTTATTCCTTTTATTTTCAGGCTATACCTGAAACGCTACGAGAGCTGAAAACAGCACTTTGGGCCGCAGAACCAGCTGGTGGAGCAGCGAACTTAACAGGCGCTCTAACGACTGCCTTTGAGATACTACACAGGGTAATTTTCTAAGTCACTAACTCAAATTTCTATTTCACATACTCCATGGTTTATTATCTGTCCCAACATAACATATCCCATAGTCATCTTTTACGACAACCACGGGATGAAACAGGGTGATGGGTTCTCTTACGACGCAAAGCCACGGCTAAATCCGAATAATTGTTATCTACTTAGCAATTGTTACGTGGTAGAGCCATGCTGCAGCTATATTATAGTTGTAGCACGAACGGGTCGGCTCGACCGGGGTGGGACCACGCTCTCACAGAATACCAGCGTAAAATAGCAGCTTAATACTGCTGTGTTTCGTATGGTGCGTGTAAAGAACCGGAAACCTTTTTTACTGGAAATGAGGCACTCCATCTTAGTCCTCAGTGGTGAGAACGCATCTGCATTTTGGTTCTCAATCGAGGATAAATGTAGATGTATATGGGCCACAGCATCCACTTACCATCAGGTGGACTGTGTGCTCGTTTGTCACCCTTATCCTATAAAAAAAATTGCGTAGAATATTATCATGCCGCAGGTTATATCCAAACACACAGTCACTCACTCGTTTTTAACTACTCATACCCGAGCCAAAGCTTATTTGATAAGAGCGAATAGTTAGGATGCTTGTACGTGCTAGCACTACGCTTCAGCGTATTATGACTACAGCACGAATGAGTCGGCTCACCCGAGCAAGGACGCTAGACCACCAGCGTGAATGGGCAACATACTGTTGTGAGTAACGAGATCTGGAGATTGCAAATGGTGACTGACCAGATCTGGAGACCCTTTTGAGGCATACAGTCTTAGTCTTCAGGATTATAAACGCATCTGCATTTTGATTCTTCTTTATCATCGTCATCATTACAGCCCTTTACAAATCCACTATTGAACATAGGCCTCTTACCAAGGTATGCCACAAAGTCTGATCCAAAGCCTACAGGTTGTCACTCTATCTAGTGAGGGATCGCCTTACACTCCGCTTATTGGTATGAGACTGCCACTCAAGAACCTTTCCTCTCCATTAGTTGTCGGTTCTTCGAGCTATATGATCGGCCCATTGCCAGTGCAACTTACTGATACGATGGGCTTTTTCGGTTACTCTGGTTCTATTGCGGATATCCTTATTTAGAGGTCTCTCACACAGAGAAATTTCGAGCATAGGCTTCTGCATAGCTCGCCATTTTAGTTCTTAATCCACACATTTCTAGCTTGGTAGCAATCATCTCATTACCAGGTATTATTATCATTCATAAATTCCTTAATATTATAATAACCCCTTACAAACTTAGTTTCATCTAGTCAAATTTTGTGTATTTTTGGGATTCGTTGTAAAAGCGTCTACATCACCCCAAGGATGAATTACTGACTCGGTGCAGTCGAGTAACTGGTACTACTAGATTGTGTCTGTTCAGTTCTATTTACAAAATGAATATCACTTACTTTTGTATAACTACTTTTATTTTTGTTTACGTTTATTACATTTTCATAAATGTATTGCGAGGCCTAAGTTAACATATGAATTTCCTGACTCTTTAAGTTTTAAATCATAGATTGCTCTTATGGCCCTCTTCTGTAAAACAAATATAATTTCAGTGTCAGTCGCATGTTTCCAAACAAAATACCACACGACATTATGCTATTGAAATAGCTAAAGTAAACTAGTCTAGCTGTTTCAACACTGGTAAGATTTCTAATCCTTTTTACAGCGTATGCTGGAGAATGTTGCTACAGAAAGTCTAGTTTTGATATATGGGCCCATTGAAGCTTTGCGTCTTGTGACTCCAAGAAAAATGGTGGTACATTTGTATTTAGAAATTTGACATTTGGAGTTATGAATATGATACATTTAGTTTTAGTGCCATTTAAATGCAAATTATTAACATTGAACCAATTAACTAATTTAAATATAACATTATTTACATCGCCATATTTTAGTAATTGTCGTTTTAATTTGAAAATTATTTAAGTATCATCAGCAAATAATACTATATCATGGTTATCCCCTACTATGTAAGGTAAGTCAATAACATATACAAGAAACAGAAAAGGGCCGAGAATTGAGCCCTGAGGCACGCCCATTAGTACTATCGACCCTTAAGAGCTCATACTATTAATGACAACCTTTTGCGTTCTGTTACTTAGATATGAAACAATATTAATTTAAGAGCATTACTTCATACACCATAGTGTTGTAGTTTCCTGATTAATGTTTCATGGTGAACACAATCGAGGGCTTTGGGCAGGTCACACAATACACCCAAAGCATCCTGTGAATTCTCCCATGCATTGTACATATATTTAATCAGATCAACACCAGCATCAGTTTTCGAGCGACCCCTTGTGAAAACCGTATTGATTATTATGAAGTAAATTATTATTTTTTTTACATTTAATCAAGAATATTTTTTTCAAAAATTTTACTAAGTGTTAGCAGTACAAAAATATGTCTAAAATCGGCGGATTCCAATGTACTACCAGATTTAAATAAAGCTATTACTTTACTATTCTTCATTAAATCAGGAAACATACCTAAACATTTAGATAGTTTTAAAATATTTTACAATATCTTTTGATGATACTTTATGAAATGTAAAATTCTTTGTACAAGCATTTATATTTTTTTAAGTACTGATACGGTGACGGCAGGAGAAGAATTCAGTGAATTAATGGTTGAGATTAGAATATCAGTAAAATATATCTCAAAAACCATTGCAACTTTCTGATATGACTTAGTTAATTTGTTGATTACTGGCTATAAACTAAAAATTAAATATATTATCCCACAGTACAACCGCACGGGACAGGGCTGTCAGTGCAACCAGGCGATAGCGGTGATTGGCGCTGGAGGCGGTGCGAACGGCGTGAAGGGTGTATTCCGCGTGTGGAACTGGCCGCATATGCCCGTGAGGATATTCACGTACCGCGTCGCTGGTGATGCCGCTGCCGGCCACATTATGAAGGACATGGCTTGCACAAATAAAGGTATTTATGCAATGATGTTTTAGTAATTTTAAACGGAATTTGTAAAATTCATTTTGAAACTTAAGAGAAAATAATTTAATGGAAGACACTTATTAATATCCAAATAACTGAGCCATGGTCATTGTCACTTCACTGTTGAGCACGACCCTTCTTAACCCTTTCGCTGTCCCGTGTGCTACATATAGGTCATTGCTATTGTGTTACTATTGTGTGTGAAAATGGGACAGTGAAAGTGTTAAGTATGAAAGATCTGTATTAATTGCCACACTTGGCAGGCAAATTGGCGACTGTAGTGTCAGATACATTTTCGAGGTTAGTCTTATTCGTCGATCCGTATTTAACGTAAATCACATTAGTTATTCAGATATCTTTGGAAGCTCACGTTTTTTCTGGATATAATTATCACCGAAAATATTAGTAATGTTTTCCAATGTTATTTTTTCTATAAACCAATGAAAGCTAATTGATTCCTTATTATATTACCAGGTTTCTACGTGACCATCAATGAGCACGCAGAAATCAGACATAAAGTCTTACACTTTGTGGAGGTGCTGGCTCGGCCGCTGGTTATGTATCAGACGATCCATCCAGTCCACTGGAGTCCCGTGTACGTGGGTGGAAGGGTAAGTTTTTAAATAAAACATCTTATTTAAAAGTGATAAATAATCATTGGAAAAAATTGCGATGGCTGCGGCTGAAGAATTCCAAAATGCAAAACTTTATTTAGAATAATATTATTTACAAAAAGTGAGAATTAAATAATAATAAAACGAACGTGACATATTGGTCGATGTTGGAAACAAAAGTTAAGATATACCTCGATGAATCTCCTTGTTTATGGTTCAAAAAGCATTTCGTCGCTTCAGCTTTTCATGCATGGCCTTTTCCCAGTAAAAGGATGGGTGTGGGAACGCTGAATGTCAGTTCTCTATTTAAAATTCAAGCAATAAAAATAACAAAACACAGAAGAAGAGATTATTTGTTCATTGTAATATTGATTCTACATTTGTATATTTATGTCTATAGGCCGTAAAATTCACATAACATCAGGTAGACTGTGTGTACGTGTGTCATACTTGCTTCTAAAAAATTGCATTTCATTTTTATTTCGGCACATACATTACAATTATGTTTAATGTTACAGAGTAGCAGCCTAGCTGACGATGGAATGGGACAATTGATGACTTCGGTTAGCGTACCAATCTTCGACAGGAGAAATCATACAGTAAGTAATAAGCAAATTTTTTAAACTTTATAAAATAATATAATAAGAGCAGGGGCGGATTTAAACTTTATGGGGCCCGGGGCTAAAATTGAGAAGGGGCCCACTTAAGTACAGCAAAAAAGGCTATGTATCAAATATAAAGTAAATTCATTTATTAATTTACTATAAATTATTTATTATAAACTATTATTTATAGATACAATGAACTACAAATAATTGTTTTAAAATTCGATTAAAAATTTTTTTCTTGATTTTGCTGTAGCACAATCATGAATTAAGTCATCGAAGTCAATTGATCTCAATAAGTCGACTTTGATGCTTAATCTTGTTAAAGATGATAGTCTGTCGTCTGAAATCGTTGATCGATACATGATTTTTATTCTTTTCAAAACTGAAAATGATCTTTCTGATTCGCAATTTGCGATTGGAAGTGTAAGTATATGTAGTATCCTGTAAGCAATATAGGTATACGGAAAAATTTGTATCATGTCTAAATCTACAAGCCAATTTAAAACTTTTAAGGGACACAAGATTTTATCATTTGCACTTGTGTTTTCTCCTGTACGATTGGAAAAAAAGCCCTTAGGCTGCCGTTTTAAACATGGTATAAATTGTTTCAATTCAACTGATAAATCTTTTTCTAAATCGTCAGAGTAAACCTTGACGAGATTTGCTACTTTTTTTTCTAATACATCTGTCTCTATAAATAGTAATTGTGTGAGAAAGCCAAATAGTCGAATGATGCGATCATATGCTTCACTCCGTTTCTGCAACTCGGCAACTAATTTGTCTATAATCACATAAAATGTGTTTACTCGGAATTTATCAGCCGGGCTTAAGCTACTAGCTTGTGATTCTTTGTCGGTTAGCATTCTTGTGACCTTTCGTTTGTTTGCATCAGAATATTCTTGATCCACAAAATTACTTAGTTGTTTGGCTTGATTTTCAATGTCAGAAAATGTATCTCGCAAATCTGCCACAAAATCCACTAATGAAAGTAGCATGTTATTTGCAGAAATTAAATCTGTATCAACTTTTTGAAGGTATTGACTAGTCGCGTTAAAGCGGCTTGAAACATTATTCCATAGAATCGCCATAAAAACATTTTCAGTTTTTTTTATATGTTTCAATAAAGCTTCAGCTTCTTTCCGAGTTTCGCGTTTTTGTTCTTCGTCATTCGCTAAAATTTCTAGAGCCCTACAAATACCTCCATGACTCTTTACTATAACTTTTGTGACGTTTTCGCGACATGACCATCTCGTTTTCGATTAGCTCGTTATTTTAGAATTCTCAGTGATTAAGATGTCCCACCGATGTATTGATGCACTAAAAATGCATATAGCCGCTGTAAAATTCCGAAGAAATTTGTAGCATCAAGACATACGTCGATACTACATTCTCCCACTAAGTTTAGAGAATGGCGAGCGCAAGGCACGTAAAACGCTAATTCATTTTTTTCTCTAATACAAGCTGAAGACCATATATTTACCGGACATATTGGAAGCGTTGTCATAGGTCTGAGCTCGGCAATTTTTAATATCGATACCGTGCTCCTGTAGTAAATCTAATAGGTCATTACTAAGCGACCTACCTTTATGACTTTTTATTTGTAAAAAGCAGAATAAACGTTCATAAACGTGACCATCTAAGTACGATCGGAAAATGTGAGTAGTATCGGAGATGTGGGATATATCTGGGGTAGAATCTACGACGAGTCCCCAATATTTTGCACTGTGTATTTCATCAATAATACGTTTTAATACTTTTGCAGCCATTAACTCTATAAATTCTTCGTATATAGTTTTACATAAATAAGAGACTGTACCACTGCCTTTGTGAACACTTTTTTGCCATTAATTGGTGCTGATTTTATTCCATACAAATTGTAGTTAACTTTCTCGGTATCGAGTGCGTAAAAACAACATCTCGCACTAGGGACACAGAGATATCTCTCTGTCATTACACTATCTAGCCCTTTTTTGTCCTTGCCTCGTTTACTGGCGATCTGGTGAGGTTTTTACAACATCGATACGATATTTTTATAGTTTTCTTTTAACCGCATTTTCAAAGTTATTTATAGCGATAAACAAGTGAAAAAAATAATAATAAATAGTATAACAGATTTAATTTTTCTCTATTTGTTATCTTTAGAATTGTTATTAAATAATCTTTCATATGAATTTATTTAAATTATATAAGTAAAAAAGAAAATCACAACCTTTGGCATGAATAAATAACTCAAATTATTGCGCGATAAACATTAACATTCTTTGGTAGAAATTTCCCCCAACCGTTCGCCACCGTGACCAACTGCTGCAGCGTTAGCCGCAGAAATTATTATCTAGAATGCATTCTTTCATTTAAATTATTTGTCCAAAGTATATTTATAAATTGCACACACAAAATCCAAATTAATTTTTAGATAATCAAATACTTTTTCGTTCGGAAATAAATAAATTCTTCAATTACGTAATTGGAGTCATTCTGCAGCTATATTACATAGCACAAATGGCCTTCCCGACCGGGGAAGTACCATGTTCTCACAGAATACCAGCGTAAAATAACAGCTTAATTCTGCTGTATTTCGTGTGGTGAGTGTAAAGAACCGGAGGAAAAAGAGGAAAAAGAGGAAAAAGAGGAATTCTTAGTCCTCAAGGGTCATCAGCATTTTGATTCTTAATCGATGATAGATGTAGATGTCTATGGGCTACAGTATCTACCACGGAACAAATACACCGTGGTATCCACTTACCTTATAAAAGAAAATAATAATTACAGCTCGAACATTGGATAAGCATTTGGATGGGCCATGTTGTGGTCTAATCCTGCTCGGAACAAGTGTTTGTTTGGCCTTCGTGTAATTGTTCCGGGTCTGGATGTGGGTTCGTGTGTAATTTATGTATTTATTTAAAACGCGTCCACGATTCAGAAGAAAATCTTATATTGGTTTTTTTTTGATTATGTTATTAATATTTTGGAAATTTTCAGCAAAGAGAAGCCAATCTACTCGGAGTAGTCGGCACTGATGTACCTGTTGATCAAATAAAGAAGCTCGTACCACCATATAAGGTATGTAAATCAATGCGACCTTTTGAAATTTATTCTTGACCCTATTATTGCATACTATCGTCAAGACTTGTTCAGTGCGTATAGTCTTCGGTAATACTAGGTATGCGTATGCTATAGTGCTAAAGTACGTACAGACAGATCATCTATCCAACCGTCTGTATAACTTGTGATATTAAGTCTATGCGCGAAGTTCGGCATAATAATTCGGTTAATAATGTTCTCTGGCGTAAAAAAAATACTTTTGGGTTTCGTACAAAACTTGATCTTATATTACAAATTTTGTACAAAACTTGATCTTATATTTTATACGTGGTAGAGCCATGCTGCAGCTATATATACTTGGTAGAGCCATGCTGCAGCTATATATCATACGTGGTAGAGCCATGCTGCAGCTATATTATGGTTGTAGCACGAATGGGTCGGCTCGACCGGGGAAGGACCACGCTCTCACAGAAAACCAGCGTAAAATAGCAGCTTAACGCTGCTGTGTTTCGTTTGGTGAGTGTAGAGAATCGGAGACCCTTTTTACTGGAAAAGAGGCATTCCATCTTAGTCCTCACGGGTGACAACGCATATGCATTTAGATTCTTAATCGAAGATAAGTATATGTAGATGTCTATGGGCCACAGCGACCACTTACCATCAGGTGGACTGTGTGCTCGTTTGTCACCCTTATCCTATAAAAAAAAATTGACTAGATTCGAACTTAGAATCCACCATTTATATATTCCTAAAACAAAGCTAATGGGTACATTAGTTCAATTTAAAATTCTTTATAACAACATTGTATTTAATTGATTTATTGTTTTAGCTCGGAGTGAACGGTTATTCCTTTATGGTGGATAACAACGGGCATGTTTTATACCATCCTGATCTGAGACCACTGGTAAGTTATCACACAATCAAAGGCATAAATATAATAAATTAAATATAAAAATTACGTCACACATTGTCACATTGTTTATCCGCGATGAATTCCAGAATTACTGAACTGATTTCAATGAAATTTTGCACACTCTGTGTAGTTTGGTCCAACTTGAGAGATAGGATAGTTTTTATCCTGATAAGTGGACCATCAATATTTTTATTCCGAATTTAAGGATTTTTTGCAGGACTTCAATATAAATTATTAAGAATAACTCAAAAACTATTGTTCAGATCTAAATTAATAATTTATATGGGACCACATGTGAAGCACCAGCTTTCAAATGAAAAAAGAATCATCGAAATCGGTTAACCCAGTAAAAAGTTATGGGGTAACACACATAAAAAAACATAGTCGAATTGAGTACCGTCTCCTTTTTGAAGTCGGTAGAAAAGTATGAATTCATACCCATTTCATAATTCAAATTTCGTTTAATGCCAATCTAATATTAAATTTATTTGTTGCAGCACACTAATGAGGAGGTAAGTTAATAGTAATGTACAAAATATAATTATTCACCACACATTACAACTATTGAAATATTTGAAAATATCAAGATTGACTAATTTTATATTTTACTAATTATTATAATAATATGTAAAAAAAAAATATAAATTGAAATGTTCAAGTTCCGAATACTTTTAAGTTCTTTTTATTACTTGCTTATGTCCTGCAGATAACAAACAAGCTTAAATAAATCTATTTGCATTGAGTGAAAGCAAAAGCTATTTTATTTATTTCCAGTATACAGAGACACTTCGTCCTCTATACTCCAGCGTTGATCTCACCGATGTGGAGCTTCTTGTGGATTCCGATGAGAACTCGCGGGTCAACCTCACCTCTTTGTTGCTAGACGTGAGTATTGAACGATAACTCCAGACAGCCCTTCCTGTGTCTTGAGAGCCGGCAGTATCAAAATACAAACAAAGCTCTTGGCTAAATAATAACGAATTATATTTTTTTAAGTTATAGTAACAGTATTTTTAAAGTTATAAATGTGAATTTTTACGTCTTTACATCTAGTCCGAGCGTGGCGATTGGATTGGCGCTTCCTTTAAATCTATACATATAATAAAACTGTAAATAGCAGATGTCTGTACATTTTATATTTTTGTAATAAAAGTGATTGAGGGGTACTAAAAATAAGTAATTAAATACATTTCTACCATTTTTAGAATTTTCTGTCTGTCTGTCTGTCTGTCTGTCTGTTTGTTTGTTAACGTATCACGTATAAAGTACTAATTTATATCATAAGAATTGTTAAGGAAATTATAAAGTGTATCTTCGGGTTACATTTAGTCTTTATTTCATTAAAATCAGTTCATTCCATCAAAAATTATGATAAATATTCTGAAGTATGGGTAGGGAAGTATAGGTACGAATTTGCTCAACGGTGGCTTTGTTTGAGTCATCAAGTGCATTTTAAACTAATATCATATTATGATATTAGTTTAAAATGCACATAAATCATAGTTAAATTATGTAAATTAATGATATAATTATGTATATCTAAAACGCAGTAAACAAAAGTATTAAAGAACGTATTAAATATATTATACAAAAATATATTAACCTTATTAACTAAATCTGAAGCAAAATAGTTAACCCATTTCTTCGATAGATGGTGGTGTTGTGAAAATGGAATGCAATTGCAATGTGGTTTTTTCCAGTAGATGAGTTTTCATATTTATTGCTAATTTTTATTATATTACTCGCTGCCCTACTGCGTGTTGACAAACTCAATTTATTCTTTACCGCCGAGTACTCTATGTGGTAAATCAAATTTTAAAAGAGCTATTAACAATTGCGTTGGTTTTGGCGAGAGTCAAACTTTATTTTTTGCTTACCGTGCAGGCACTGATTTATAAGTTCTCTTGCGTTTTATATAATGTATCAATCGCGTCAATTAATCTCTTTTATTTTTAGAATTGATGTTAGCAGCGCCATCTCTCTTTAAATATATACATATAATAAAAATGATGATAACATGTTGTGTCTCTTTCTGTACATTGTATATATATTTTGGTGGCTAAAATCATTATGGGGAACTGAAAATAATTAAATAAGAACACTTTATAATTTTTAGAATTGTCTGTCTGTCTATTTGTCTGTTATTATATGAACGCATCACGTCTAAAGTAAACATCTTTTATTTTCAAAGAAATCGTTAAGAAAATCATAAAGCGTATCTTCGAGTTACATTTAATCTTTGTTTTATTAAAATTGGTTAATTCTATCGAAAGTAATGATTATTATTTTGAAATGTAGGTTCGAATTTGTTCAATGGCGCCATAAAATCTCAGAAATAGTAATAAAAAGATTTATGTGTAAAAAAAACATTCCATAATAATTAATATATTTATACTTAAAACACAATAAGAGATTTAAAAAGGATGTTCTCTCACACAAAGGACGTAATAGATGGAGTGGTACAAATTACAAACTTTTCTGAATTGCTGTGTTGAGATTTTTCGCCGATGAATCGTATTGAGACTTACTGAAGAAATTTGTATCCATCGAAGCCATACAACGGAACCCCACCAAAAATAAAAATTTTGCAACGAAATGTCGTGATATTGTATTTATAATATACGCAAAATCAGTACTGCCATTTTAGCGCTTTGGGAACTAGATTTAGCGCTTTTTTGGAATGTATAGCGCGCATTTCGAAATTTTAGCACCTAGCTTAATCCAGCGCTTTTTGGTGTATTTAGCACACATTTCAATATTTTAGCGACTAGCGGGTTATTAACTCTTTTATAGCAGCACTGTTAGTCCACATTACCGATAATAATAATAATGACCTTTATTATTTTTTCCCACAAATAGTACATTGCAGTTTATCTTTTTCAAACATATTTTTTCCACAAAACAAAGAGTATGGGAGACGAGTCCAAACTAGGATACCCTGTGCTATGGATCTCCTGGCTTCCCCTTTAGGATGATCAACTTGATTTTTTTACCGACGACTATAAGCGGGGAAATCCCCTTTATTAAAGTTTTCGTTCATGGTTCTGGCAACGCATTTATTTTGCTTTATTCAGTTTCAGTCAGTTGCTTAGAGCACAGCTAAGTTAAAAGTTACTTAGAAGTTATAACATAAAGAAACTGTGTAGCAACCGCAATCAGATGCTGACATCTGAAACTAAGTTGCGAAATACATTGCACTTTAAAACAATTAATGACATTTTTATTGTTCGTACAGTACTAACTACTGTTGACAGCAATTGCCATAATTATAAGTCAATGTCCTGCGAAGTATTGATACATCAAAAAAATATTGCCAGAAAAAAAACTTAATGTTGTTTTCTTTATTATGATTATATAAAAAAACACAAACTTTGTTTGTAGTTAATTTAGCGCGAAATCTAGGGCTTTTTTAAAGCGCTGTTTTCATGAAATCTAGCGCTTTTTGTGTTGTCCTAGAGCTGAATGAGTTTTTTTTTATCTGGCAGCACTGCCCAAAAACCCTCTATTAAGAAGTAACTTTCCATTCAGTTTTAAGCGCGTTCAGTTCCCAGTTATAGTGAGCGTGTGTTATGCGATGACCGTAAATAAAGCGCAAGGTCAAACTTTACGCGTTGTAGGAGTGTACCTCAGTACTGACTGTTTTGCACATGGCCAACTCTATGTTGCTTTTTCCCGCGTTAGTAGCCCCCGTAACCTTTTTGTGTATACCCCGGCTAAGCCTACTTCTAACGTCGTTTACACAGAAGCTCTATCATAAACGACTTAGAACTTTGATGATAATGATTTATTTAGTTACCACTTATTGATACAGTAATGAAATAAATCGTTTAATATTCTCTTACCTAAACGACAAATTCTTTATGTAAAACCTCTATACGCGAGCTACGCCGCGGGCACAGCTAGTAATCAATAAAGTAACAGCGATGCAATCACTTTTTGTTGGTAGCACTAAAATAACTTTTTAGTTTTGCCTCAGTAGTAGTGTTTTTACAAATAAAATGTTACATTACTATTTCCATATTATTTTTAATACAATGTAGTAAAGTTGAAAAGGTAAATATTATTTAGTAGGTAGTAAGTACCTGAGTATTAAGTGAGTATTGTAAAAAACATGGATTCGAGTTAAACGACAATATTTCAGAAGATAAAGAAGTTTTTAAGAGAATAAAGAAGAAGCCGACGTGACATGACAGAGAATAAAAAAGAAGCCGACGTGACATGACAGAGAATAAAGAAGAAGCTTTAATAAAGTTGCAGTTTAACTCTTATCACAGTACAGCTGCAGCATTTTGTGGCAGTGCTACTAAGAATAAATATTATGATCTGTGCTTTATTTGAATTTGTTCGCTGTATATGAACAGCAGTAGCCACTTGCCGTTATGCTAAAAATACATGCGTTAGGAGTTGTACACGGCTAGTCGAATGGCGGGGTCGAACCCACCACTTTCTGAATTAGCAATCTGCACCCTCTACGATTACACTCTCGCTTCACGCACTAATTTTATAAAAAAAATTACAAAAGGCGTTGTTTGTTCAGCTCCGTCATGATATGATAGAGCAGCGCGAGGGCGAGACTGAGATCGGAGTGAAGGTGCAGTACGACGGCATGCGGCGCGTGGCCACCCGCCGCCAGCGCTACTTCTACGGGCCGGTGGAGGGCACGCCCTACTCGCTCGCCGCAGTGCTGCCCGACGGCTACGGCATGTTCGAGCTGCAGGCCGAGCAGGAGATCAAGCACAGCCCATTCAATGGTACATATAACTGATATGTCATTACATAAATTAACTCGAATAACAGTTTACTTTAAGGACCCCGGCGAACGTACGCAATAAATTTCGCGGTACGCGAGCAACCCAGGTTCAATCCCAAAAAAGAAAAGAATAATTTTTCTATTGATTTATATACTTTGATTTATTTTTACGTGGTAGCACGAATAGATCGGCTCGACCGGGGAAGGGCCACGCTCTGTCAGAATACCAGCGTAAAATAGCTGCTTAATGCTGCTGTGTTTCGTATGGTGAGACCCTTTTTACTGGAAACGAGGCATTCCATCTTATCGTATCATGAATCTTTATCGAAGATAAATGTAGATGTCTATGGGCCTCTGCATCCACTTGCCATTGGGTGGACTGTGGGCTTGTTTGCAACATTCTATAAAAAAGTGTTTGGCCATGTTTGGCATGTTTGGCCACAGCATTTATATTGCCATCGGGTGAACTGTATAGTCGTTTGTCACCCAAATTCCATAAAAAAATTTGTGAAACATGTTAAGTCCATAAATTGGCACTGAACCAGCGCGGCATAATAATAGCTCCATAACTCTCTCAGAAATGAGAGAAGACCTGTGACTATCTTATTCCGCCTTGCTTTTTCCTATTCTGTAGCATAGGAGTAGTATTAAGCAATAATGGAAATGTCTTAAAGACCTCAAAGTGATAATACTGTCATCTATCGGAAGCCATAAGAACTTTCTGGCTTATCTCGTTGGCACCACTTACTTTACTCACTAGATGAAAAGGTGTCATGCTCATGTGTACTGTCATATCGGGTATAATAACTGATTTTACTTATATACAACGAAAAAACAAACACTGAAATAGATTTGTAATACTTTTTTAAATTTAAAAGACTAAAAACAAAATAAATGTGTATATGTATTTATAGTGGTATTTAGTTATATGTATGTTTACATGGATATTTGTTTTTATTATCTTTACTTTATGTTAAGTATATTAATATTATAAAATTTTATTATGAGAGTGCACACTAGATCAGCTTCTCTTTTAATTTGTCCAGTATCAGGCCTGCTGGAAGAAATTTCAATATGAAATAAGCAGTGCCTTTGTACAAAATATCTTTTTTTTTCTCTTGCTTGTAACATTATTTTGTGTGTACATAAATTGTAAATTGATTTAGAATTGAAAAATGTATGGAATAATATTAAGAAAGTTTTGGTGGATGCAGCCACCGAAGTATGCGGTGTAAGTAAGAGAACGAATGAAAGGAAAAGTAATACGTTGTGGTGGGATGATGAGGTACGAATGGAAGTTGAAGCAAAGAAGAGAGCATGGCTAGATTTACTAGCAACTAAAGCTGGTAAATCTGGCGGTATGAATGATGAGATTGAAAGAAAAAAGGCAGACTTTAGACGTATAAATAAGAGAGTAAAAGAAGTTGTTGAAAGGAAAAAGCAAGAAAGGATAGATAAGAATGATAGAAGGATATCTGATAACTTCCAGGCAAATATTAAAATGTTCTGGAAGCTCGTAAGAACTGCCAGGGGAAATTCAAAACAGCCTAGAATGAATGCTATACGAGACGAAAATGGCTGCATGCTGAATGATGAAGTTTCGAATTTAAAGAGATGGAAGGAATACTTTGAAAGCGTGTTTAAGAGTGAAGAGTCGTCTGAAATAAGTGAAATAGAAATTCCGGAAGAAGTGGAGAGAGGTAGGGAGATAAGTGTAGATGAAATAATGAAAGCAATGAAAAGCATGAAAGCAGGTAAGGCAGCCGGATATGATAGAGTATCACTCGAAATGCTAAGGGCTGGTGAGAGTGTGGTTGCAGGCCTGCTGCACACCTTGTTTAATTTATGTTGGGAACTGAAACAGGTCCCGAAAGACTGGTGCAAAGCCGTTATAGTCCCAATATATAAGGGAAAGGGGTCGCAACAGGACTGTAAAAACTACCGTGGTATCAGCTTGCTTAGCATTGTGGGTAAACTGTATGCTAAGGTGTTAATTGAAAGACTTATGGAAGAAACTGATGGAAAAATTTGGGATGTGCAAGCTGGATTTAGAAAGGGGATGGGGTGTACGGATCAAGTATTTTCCATGCGCATGATAGCGGAGAAGTTTTTGGCTAAAAACCAGAAAGTTTTTTGTGCGTTCGTGGACTTGGAAAAGGCTTATGACAGAGTGGACAGGAATGTGTTATGGCCAACACTGAACTCATTTGGGTTGAGCGCTGGCTTGATACAGGCATTAAGGTCTCTTTATAGGGACTCTAGTGCTTGTGTCAGGATCAACGGGGGCTACTCGGACTGGTTTGGCATTCATAAAGGTGTCAGACAGGGATGTGTGGCTTCCCCGTGGCTGTTTAATCTATTTACGGACAGTTGTTTGCAAACTTTGAAAGTTGAAGAATGTGGGTTGAGAATGGGTGAGTCAACCGTCAAATGCCTTTTGTACGCCGATGATCAAGTCATATTTGCATCGTCGGCGGCCGAGTTGCAAATGATGGTTACTTTAATGAATTGGTCATTGAAAGAAAGGGGTATGAAAGTGAACGCAAGTAAGACGAAAGTGATGGTTTTTGAAAGAGAAGAAAGTAAAACTTTATGTGAAATAAGAATAGAAGGGGAGTTGATTGAGCAAGTGGATGAGTTTGTATATTTGGGATGTTTATTTAGCAGGGATGGTAGATATGATAAGGATATAGAACGACGAGTGAACGCAGGAAATAGAGTGAATGGGGCTCTACACGCTATTATGAGGAATCAGAATGTGTCAACTAAGGCACGTATGGCAATTCATAATGCTGTGTTAGTCCCTACTTTAATGTATGGTAGTGAAAGTTGGGTCTGGCAGAAGAAGCATGAGAGTAGAATAAATGCTGTAGAAATGCGTTCCTTAAGGAGTATGCTAGGGCTGAATCTGAATGACAGGGTGAGAAATAGTGTGATAAGAGAAAAGTGTGGTTTGCAAGATGACGTTGCGACAAGGATTAAGAAAGGAATGCTTCGGTGGTTTGGTCATGTAGAAAGAATGAACGAGGAAAGAGTGACAAAGCAAATTTATGTTGCAGAAGTGAACGGCAGGGTCGGGAAGGGACGCCCTAGACGAAGGTTTATCGACCAAATTGGCGATACATTAAAAATGGGCCAGATTAGGAGTACCCTTAACCGACGAGCGTGTATGCGTAGATATATGGATGTAAAAGAGGCGAGAGAGGTGTGTCAGGATCGCGCCAAATGGAAGTCCGTAGTCTCTGCCTACCCCTCTGGGTGACAGGCGTGAGTGTTTATGTATTATGTATGTATAAATTGTTAAATAAATAAATAAATAAAATATTTGTAAAATATGCGCATAACTGTACCGATTTTTAATTTATGTAGCACCTTAGATAAGTTCTGATTAATAAATTTAGTCAAGATTTTTTTAAACTAATAGTCACTAATTAGACACTAAATCTCTACACATATTTCACAGCTAACGACATAGGCGTCTTCGAGTAATTCTATGACATATAATCTTCAAGCCAGAATCCTCCCTGAGACCTACGAATAACTCCAGTTAATTTAAGAAATATATTTCATTTTCAGTATATGAAAGTCACCAATTAGTCACTAAATATTAAAATGGGAATCACATGCAGACAGTAATGGCGTTTTGAGGCGACGCTGCTAGCTTGAATTCAAGCTAAAAACCTTCCAAAAAGGCTACATCTTCTAATAACTCTCCTAATTCCTAACTAAATCTTGACATAACAAAACGTAATATATCGTTGGGGAGGCTTCCAGCTTAGAGAACGCGAACACTTTACATTGAAACTTTACCCTTAGCCTAACGCTATTGAATACGCAACTATTATTATCGTTCTAATAAATATATTTTCTTCTGATGCAGTCACAGAATACTTTAAAGGCGATAACTGGAAAGTCCATCCCGATTGGTAAGTTTTAACTATAATATTAATATTCAATTATTGACGATAAAAAATTTCTAATCTTCTAACATATATTTGTAGTCTTTAACGAGGTTGCTCGCTAATATAATAATAATATAATACCTAAGTATGACATTGATTTTAGCAGTCATAAAGTTTTCTCCCAACTTAAACGTCTATTTTTACTTACCTGTTAAATATTTGTATATGTCCACATAAAATTAGTAAAGAAATAATTAACAGAGAGCAAAAAAATATGAGCTGGGCATTTGCCATACTAAATAGGTTGCGTATTGACATCATATGAATTGGCGTAAGATACATTTACAAGTGACGTCAAATTAAAAAAAAATTGGCAGGAGTAACTGCTGATATATTATTTGTTACGACATTAAATACATTTTATACTCGTGTTATATTATTGATTTGTGTATAAAAAGCCTGATGCTGCTGTCGTAGGACAGTTGGATAATATATGACGTAATTTCTAACTTTGTATTTAATAAAACAATAGTTTTTATTTACATCTAGTAGATGTATCATAGAATACTGGTTATCATCACATATGACTTATTTTATATGCTTACGGATTCATAGTATCAATATTCGAATTATAATCGAGCAACCCTGTAACATTATAGTTTTCTCGAGATAATCTTTATACGTGGTAGAGACATGCTGCAGCTATAGTAGTAGTATAGTTGTAGCACGAATGGGTCAGTTCGACCGGGAAAGGACCACACTCTCACAGAATACCGACGTAAAATAGCAACTTAACACTGCTGTGTTTCATTTGGTGAGTGTAGAGAACCGGATACCCTTTTTACTGGTAACGATGGTTTACGTAGTAAAGCCATGATGCAGCTATATTGTGTTTGCAACATGAATTATGAATGATGAATAAAAAGCAAATTTTTATTAGTATAATATAAAATTAAAAATTTTGTACAGCCGACTTCAATATAAGCGACTTCAATATAAGTTATTTAAGAATAACTCAATAACCATTAGTCTGACCTTGATCAAATTCATATGGGACCACGCGAGAACTATCAGCTTTCATATAAAAAATCATCGAAATAGGTTCACCAGTACAAAGTTATGAGGTAACACACATAATAAAAAACATACAGTCGAATTGAGTACCGTCTCCTTTTTGGAAGTCGGCAGAAAATACAAAAGAGGAACGTCAAAGATGTCTCCGTTTAGTACTCAAACGGACAATACTTTGTCAAACGTAATTATAACATCAAACTTGTACTATGGGAGAAACTCACAAACAGTAAAGCAGTGTATTAGAGTTGGACGTGGTAGAGCCATGCTACAGCTATATTAGTGGTCGGCTCGACTGGGGAAGGACCACGCGTTCACAGAATACCAGCCTAATATAGCAGCTGAACGCCGCTGTGTTTTGTGTGGTGAATGTAGAGAACCAGAGACCCTTTGAACTGGAAACGTGGCATTCTATTTTAGTCCTCACGAGCGACAATGCATCTACATTTTGATTCATAATCCAGGATAGATAGATGTCTATGGGCCACAGCAACTACTTACCACCAGGTGGAATGTGTGCTCATTTGTCACCCTTGTCTTATAAAAACATTTGAAAATGATTTTTTTTTAATATTAAAGCTAAGTATGAGCAATATCTAACAGATTCCATAAAAGATGATTTTCGTTTAGGGTGTACTGCGAATACGCATCCACATCGGACCAAGTATTCAATACCCCTGAGGAGCAGCTGCTACACTTTTTATCGCGCGCGGGCCGCCCCGGCTGGAAGTGGATGTCGTTGCGACCGCGAGCCCTCACGCTGCACAACGCGCACAAGAAACAGGACCGCGACTCTTATTACTGTACGTGAGATAAAATAGAACCACATTGTCACATAAGTTTAATTTTAGCAATACCTATGGACGAAGCTTTGTAGAAGTACGACCCCTCTAGAAAATCTTGTGTCCTTGATGGTAATTTAAACTTATAGTCACTAATTAGACAACAACGAAAAAAAAAATTTCCACACTGCCTAGCTGTTCCACCAGGGTAGGGTCGTGTCTCCTTGAGCATAATTTGCCTCGGTAAGAATGTTAACTACGATACAATAACATAATATTGATTTGATGTTCAGTTGTTATTTTCTTATAAAAAATATTTAAAATACTGAACAAAAGTTGTTACGTAACTTTTAAAAAATGTTACTAGTTATACTTCTGACACAAAGAATTGTTTAACTGTACTATACTTAAGTGCGTCTGTTGTTTTATCTATCTAGTAATTATGAATATTTTGATTATATTTTGAATCCAAAATATTTGAACAAAAAAGAATAATAACCACACTATTCTTATACCATATATGTATTACTTATTTTTAGTCCCTCGCGATCACTTTTATTACAAACATATAAAATGTACACACATCTACATTTTTCAATTTATATTTTTATAATATGTGTAAGTAATTACTTAAATTAGTAATAAAAATAGTAATTTATTGTTATTTTTATTGCTAATAATTATTGTTAACCACTCTAAGATACTGATGCTTGCACTTGTAGTAGTAGTTCACGACAGTAGTCGATGGCAGATTCGTATCTATAATTATATTTTTACTAGATACTTCTAAAATTGTATCTACATTTAACTTATATTTCACCTCTTTTGTTTCCAGGTGATAAAACTCTAGTACAGTCGCTCGTTAGGGACGCTATGGTAATGAAAGAATTGGACGCTCACACTGGACACGCCAGCCACCACTCCCAGTAAGTAAGCACTTATAGAGATGCATGTTTGTCTAACTATACAATAAATTGCAATAAGGCAAAGAGAATTTGATAATGAAAGCATATGCGCAATGGAGCGAACAGAATTAACTCTTTTAATTTTACATCGCAATAAAAAAAATTACACTTGCATGTTAAAGTAAAGCACATATTATAGGCGTCCTAATCACATTTAAAGCACATTAAGTTAATTTTATTTTCGATCACTAATTCGATGTGTTTGTCACACCAATAGCCCGATAGCGACTTTAATGGCTCTACTGACAAGGTAACGTAAAAATGACATACTTAATTATAATCTCTCTAGTAGTCGTGTTAGTGATTTCGCTAGCGACGAAATGTGACGTCACTTATGAAAGTACGAAGTAACTTGTATTATAAAACGAATCTCATCACTAGTTACCACTGCCATTCCACCCGCGCTCTTTTCTAAGGTATTCTAAACTTAAACCTTCTAGAAAAGACGTAGATTTTCTTCATTCATCATGGGTACAAACTGTTTCGCCCCATTTAATTTTAAAAACCGAATCCACTGCGTGTGATTTTCATCCGTCATTCCTTTTAGTGCTAATTCATCCAAGAGCCATTTCGAGCACATTAGCTGAAACTTTAAAACAGGAATGTTTGAGTTTAAGCCATCGAACTATTTTTTGATTTGCGTTTTTATAGTTTTCTGATTGCTGATATTTTTACTCTGGGGAACGATTATACAAAATGATTTCTAAATATTACTATTGTAATAAAAAAAAATAGTTTAATATACCTAAGTACTAAGAATAATCTTTCCCCTCGTATAATTTTCAAATTTTCATAGCCACCAAGGATCAAGGTAAAATTGTCTACTAACCAATATTTTCTGTTTATTTCTATTTAGCAAGCGAGGATTACAATTTTTAACACATTATTTTATTTTTATATTTACTATAAGAAAATTGTTAATTGTTAATGGAATAAACAATAGTCATTTCGGTTTCCCACCTATACGAAATTAAGGCGTGCGTGTACCGCAACTCGCAAGTTACCGTTACAGCCTATTGAAGTCGACTGCTGAACATAGCCTCCCTTATAGATTGCCTCATAGGAGAGATATTTGCCATAGTTGCCACGCTTGGCAAGCGGGTTGGCATTTTTAATTTTTAGTCGTTATTAAAAAGGCGTAGCTCTGTCGCCTCTTACGACACCCACGGGATGATATGGGATAGTGGATATTTTTACACCACCACTACACGGTAAGTAATCTTGCAAGTGATAGTTGTGAATTATATCATTTTTGGATGAATTTTTCGATATCAGCTTGTCACGCGCAAGCAAGTTAAAATATGGACATCGAAGAAAAAATTTGATTCATTTCCTTTTTTACTTAATGATTCTTACAGGTATCATTTTTATTCATTGTGAATTAAATGTAACTTATCTACTTTTAAAATATGATCAATGTTGAACACATTCCTTGCATGCAAAAATATAAAAACATACATACATAAATAGATAAACTTTCACACAGAAACATAGGCAGAGACGCTTTTACATCCATATATCTACGCAGACATGCTCGTCAGTTAAGGGTACTCTTAATTTGGCTCATCTTTAATATATTGCCAATTCGATCGATAAGCTTCCGGCTATGGCGACTCGTGCCGAATCTGCTATTCACTTCTGCAACATAAATTTGCTTTGTCACTCTTTCCTCATTCATTTTCATATAATATGTGAACAAGAGATTACTATGTATACTGAAAGTATGATAATTGAAATGATTACCCATTTCATTTTTTTATTATAAGATAATTTCCATTGTACCGCCTTTCGTGATTATTAAGACTCTTAAATAAATAAGTACATACTTAAAAACTTAACTTTAAAATAATCAGTATTCGTAATACGTCAAGTTTGAAAAACCTCTTACTGAATTATTTACGCATTATACAATTACATTAACAAAAATGTAAGCTTTAAAATTAATATATAATAACAAATAAATGCTTCATTATTAATAAATGCCACCTAGAACTGACTGCTGCAAATTTACAAACATTTAGTATTTAAATAAAAATATTGAATTCGCTGTAAACAGAAATATATTTGACATATCAATCATATTACTGTTTTTATATAGTGTTTTAAAATGAAATTTCTAAACACCTTGTGACACTTTACGTCTTTACAGGCAAGGCCGCTTCCACAAATTCGTGGTGACGCTGTCCTTCATCGCGACTCGCAGCGGCCTCCTCAAATGGACCGACAACACCAATAGCTCACGGACTACTGAGTCAGCGGAACCGTACGTATTTGTTAATTAATATCTGAACATTAATATTTGTTTGTTCGTATTTTACGCGTTGCCATGCCGTTTATCAGATTGAAATAAAACTTTGTTAAATTATTGCTTACACTTGCGCGAAGGTAGGCATAGCACAATTAACTTATAGTAGGTGGCGCGGGTATCGTACAGACTTTTTTCTGTGGCAGCAACGCGCCGAATACTAGCTAGTTAAAAAGTAAAACACTTTAAATAAACGTTAAATAATTAAAAAAAACTATTATTTAATCTCAAGAAACATAGATAGAAGGAATTTATGGTTGAAGGAAGGTTGTTTCTTCAACCTCTTCAGGTTGGAAGTTTCTTCTGGATAGTTCAGACTAAGGAGACCACTTCTTGTTATGAGGTTATGCAGAAAATACGAGTATCAACTGCGACGGAAATATATTACTCAAAATGTATGCTCAATCATGAACCACTGACTCATCCTTACCGAACCCGTATACAATGTAGCACTTGGGCAATAACTTTTGAAGGTGTGTTTATTGTTTCACCAAAACACAGAGTTTTGATCAAATACTTTATTCACTAGTACCTGTAACGATTGTTATATTATGGCCAATAAATATTTCTGATTCTGATTCTGATTCTAGAATTCGAAACTCGAATAAGATAAGAAATAAAATCCAATACAATACAATATATTATGTACATGCTATAATATTCAAAAATACCCATGAAAGCAAACATTGGCATCCATTTGACGACCGACGACACATCGATGCGATGGAGTGGGAATTACGCGGACGGCTTGTAGTACTTGTAGCACTCGTAGAACCCGTAGCACTCGTAGAAAATGTAGCACTCGTAGAACTTGTAGCACTCGTAGAACTTGTAGCACCCGTAGCAAGTCCAAATACAGGCATCAATTCAATTATTTTAACGAGAATTTAAATTAAAAAAAAAACAGTAATTTAGCCATTATCTAGGGTTCTGTTCAAAAGCAAACTACAAAACTCATTTGCGCATGCCTATGTTCTAATAGTTTAAGCGCGAGTTAATCGCTGTTGATAATAATACCTTATCGTTTCAATCAGTTATAAACAACTTCTGTAATCGGAGAATTTCACTTCGTGTTTTCGCATGTCAATAGTAAATAAGACGTATTTCCCAATATAACAAACAGGCCATCCGTAACAATTCGGAAATGAACTTTTTGAGTTCTTTAATTTTCGTCCAAAACCGACAAGCGGGCAGAAATGTATTTTTTTATTGTAAACAGTAAACACCTTAATTTCTGGGTACAATGTTTTTGGCTAAATAAACAAAAATAAGCGACCTGAAACGCGATTTTAGGAATTGTCTTTATATTACAGACATTTTAGTGAAAAGTACGGGCGCGCTTTCGACTCTGAGTGGTACAGACGAGCAGTGGAGCATCACGCGGTGGAGCCAGAGAGCTTCGTGTTTACGGTGCCGTTCCGTGACATGGAATCCGACGAACTCGCTCCGCCACCATTGGTAATGGCCACACACGCGGTCTTCGTCGAGTCCAGGGGTCACAGAGCGCCCGCGGCTGTCGTCGGTCTACACTTCCAACTGGACTCGCTAGTGAAACATTTCTTGAATGTTACTTCTACGGTAAGTTTTCTCGTGTTTAATCAGGAAATATTTTATAAAGTAAAAAATTAAGAGGCTCTTAAAGTTACCACTAAAGTGTCATGTGACATTCTTACTCGTGTCTCCAAAAAGAAACCGAACATTGTTTCAAACAATAACATATAGAAACAACGTAAAATACTGATTGCCGGCATACACAATTGTTTCTTTAATATAGTCTCAACATGTACATGTCGTTTCATAATTAGGCTGGCATTTCACTACGGGATATAATATATGTAGGAAGTATAGTACAGTATAGTACAGAGATTGATTTTGTAGTTAGGAATAATAATTAATTCGTTTACATGAATTAATTATCCAACGAGTCGAGGATAAACTAGTAACGGAATACGACAAGCGCACGATTCCACGTCAGAGCCAAGACTGTCTTAACGGCGGCCGCTCAGTCAGTTTTATACAAGCAGGACGGGCGGCAACGCAGGTGCAATGCCGCAGGTGTGCGGTACACGTGTCGTTTACAAGAATACTGTCTAGCTAGACCGACGCCACCGCATCTACAACGGTGCAGGTGCCGTCACGGCCATACTGACATGCGTGCGTCCTTGCACGCGCTCCATCACAATTTTAGTTATCTGTAACAACTGTAATCTGTAAAACATCGTTCGATTATCCTGACTAAACAGCGTCTGGTCCGGTCTATACTGACCCTTCAGACTCGGGTGATAATCAGTTTTGTTCCGGCAGTAAGCCCTACAAAACTTTTATCATCTTTATGTTAGATCGGAATGATTAGTCTGTAGCTTTTTCTATTTTCTCTTTTTTTTTCAAGTACTGTTTTCGCTAGTCCGGAATCATTATTCCCTATAGCTATATCACTGGACCGGCACAAAGCCCTGCAGTGATTGTAAGAACTATTCTTTTTTCTTAATCTCTTTTTTTTTCAGTACTATTTATGCTAGTCCGGAATCACTATTCCCTGTAGCTATATCATTGGACCGGCAAACGCCCTGCAATGATAGTAAGAACCACATTTTTTTCTTACTCTCTTTTTTTTTCAATTCAGTATAGAATAGTTACAGACCAACCATACCGCAAACATGTCCCCGTCACAATCATACAAAAGTGTATCGTGAGGGACGTAGTGACACGATAACACCTAAGTATGTAAACCAACAGCAACTCGACACATATCCCAGTGCAGCACAGACCAGCCTCCATGCAACTTCATGTTCCTTTCCTGCACTAGAATAATTACTTCGCTAGAGTCTTGCAATGTCTCTAGTATTTTCTAGATGCACAGACACGGCTACCTCTGACTGTCGCACGTCCTCTTGCGGTTGACAGTGAACAGCATACGGTCTATCAGTTATCACCACCTGCTAACAGATATTAACTCTTGTTAAATATTACAACGGTCGACCATCCCAGACTTCATTTAAGTCATGGACGCGCCGATATGGCTACCTCCAGGCAAACGCACTCCAACTTTCCGTTCTGCTGCGTTCGTGCCACATTCGCGCTAGCGAGCCGTCGCGCCGTACTGGTGCTAGCGAATCGTCGCACTGCCTTGCAAAATTAAAAATTAAGAGAAATGGAGATAAATGTATTGCGAACCATGGAATTCAGAGATTCTCTTAAGAAACGGCAACTGTATGCCATTTGAAAACATTGCAAAAAACGGAAACTATGTGTAGAGACAAATACTACAACATATTTCAAAGGGAAGGAGGCAACCGCGCAAAATCTACGAAAGCCGTCCAAGCCTCAGACGTCCATTTACAGCGCCAAAGCACCATTTGTTCGGTGGCCGCTTTAATTGCCTTGCCGTAAGATCAGCCGATAAGTTACCGACTGTAGCGGTGTAGGCTCAATTTTACTAGCGCTCGGCCGTACCTGACCATGATCGATTAGCCGTCACAACATCTTCCTCATTGATCATTGTTGTAGAGACTTCTACGAATCTCTCGACATTAAACTCCAATCTTGTCGACCACACAGTATTCGGAGCAAACTGCAACACTGATCAACACATTTGAACACAAAAATGTCACTTATTATTTTCAATCCACAGAGTGTTAAAGTTAATCCTTTATTGTAGTACAACCCTTAAACGTTTTTGAACTTCAAAATATAGCAAATGATAATCATGTTTCACATAAACTATCAAATTATAACAAAACTTGAACAAATTAATTAGAAAGCCTCCAACATTTAGTTTGACATTTGTTAAAATATTTAGGTACGTCAAGAAATAATGCAAATACTTGCGGGTACTTTTAATACAAATCCAACAAAAGGATTTATCTTTTGGCTTAAATAATTTCACTTTATCTTTTCTCTACACTTTAATGAGACGACAATATCGTAAGTAGGACAGCAAATTTTATTACGGTATTTAACATAAAAAGAGATCCATCAACGCGAAATGCATTATAGCCTTTACAAATGTAATAATTCTCATACTATTCGAAGATTATATGTGGGCAATAAGGGGGACGTTATCCCACTTCTGATGTAGGAAGTATAGTACAGTATAGTACAGAGATTGATTTTGTAGTTAGGAATAATAATTAATTCGTTTACATGAATTAATTATCCAACGAGTCGAGGATAAACTAGTAACGGAATACGACAAGCGCACGATTCCATGTCAGAGCCAAGACTGTCTTAACGGCGGCCGCTCAGTCAGTTTTATACAAGCAGGACGGGCGGCAACGCAGGTGCAATGCCGCAGGTGTGCGGTACACGTGTCGTTTACAAGAATACTGTCTAGCTAGACCGACGCCACCGCATCTACAACGGTGCAGGTGCCGTCATATATATTATATCCCGAAATATAAATTATAGCCCGCGATTGGCTTTCACACTGTGAGATATATCTTTTAACCAGTGCAGTGTGCGTTCGTCATTGGTCATTGGATTACCCCCCTTTACTCCGTAAACCATTCTGCGGGGGCGCGGAACGGTGTGCGGGGTACAGGGGGCGAAATATAATATGAAAATATCGCTCGGTTGATCGAAAAAATGTTGATAGCTTAAGATGTAATATATATTATAGCTCAGTGTAAACGGTTCCATATGAAATGTATGGTGAGCGATAATAATTTATATCTCGAGATGTAATATATATTATATTATATCCCATAGTGAAAAGCGGGCTTCAGTATATTTTTATGTAACAGATCTCATTTTAAACCGTCACTTTATCTTATCTTATGGCAACCTAGCGAAAGGTATTTGTTAAGTTTTGAAGAAGACTTGTGGCCCCTGATGATAACATCATAACTGTCATATTTATATCAGACGTAAATCTCACAGACCGATAGTGTTGCCAGGTGTCCTAATTTGCGCGGGATGTCCCGATATTTAGGGGTCTGGGAACACGTCCCGATTCACCCTTGATCGGGACGCCAAATGTCCGGATTTTTCACTAAGTTCATTAGCCTCTTTTTGATCAATAATTTTGACACGAATAATGAATACATCTGTAAGCTGTTACTACATTAAAATGGTTTTGCTTTGAAATTTTCATATTTTCTAAAGTCGTAAAATAGGAGTATATTGGGCGAGAGAATATTTTCGTATTGTCGAGATACATATATCATTCATGTTGTACGGTTTTTTCTTTTTTCTATCGCCGCATGATCTGATGTCGCGCGCCCCATCGCGCTATGCATGGATGTCGTCAATTCCACGATCATTTATTGTATCATTATTTTACTAGTAATTAAGTACAGTACCTTAATTATATGCTGCCATTTAGATCAGTAAATTAAGTAAAATAAAATGTTGTGTGAGTAAGTCCTACCACCAGTTAATTGTAAAGCACATTGCGTATTGTGTCAAAAAGAGTAATATATCTGATAGCGGATAAAATGGCTGCAAAAAATCTGTTTTTTATATAATAAGGGTGACAAACAAGCACACAGTCCTCCTGGTGGTAAATAAGGTCCGCGGCCAATAGACACCCACATCAATCCTCAACTAGGAATCAAAATGCAGATGCGTTGTCACCCTTGATGAGTGCCTCGCTTCCAGCAAAAATTGTCTCCGGATCTCCACTACTCCGACTCACCATACAAAACATAGCAGCATAAAGATACTACTTTACGCTGGTATGCTGTGAGAGCGCGGTCCTTCACCGGTCGTGAATGAGTAATTTTTGCTACAACCTTAATACAGCTGCAGCATGGCTCCACTTCGTAAAACGTGGTGGTATCTACTACGTTATTTTGTAGCTATTGTAGCTGTCCCGATTTGAAAACCAAATTCCCGGTTATTTTTCCCTTCCGTCCCGAAATTCGACCCATTGCACCTGGCAACACTACAGACCGACGGCAGGTTTAAAGGCACGAAATGCCTGGTCGACAGCGAATCGAGAGGCGATCGCAGTATACCTACCAGACGTCTTGCCAAACGTGACGTCAATTCCTACCTACTTTTTACGAGTCCCATGTCGAGCAAAGGACAGATTTTTAATAGAAATAAGGAAGACAAACAAGCACACAGCCCGTAATCACACAGATCGTAAGTGAATGCTGTGATGTGCTTGAAAAATCTAGTATTTATATCAGAACGTGAAAGCGTCAACGGTGAGACTCCCGTGCGATGTCCTTCCGGGCACTGGAATTATTGATAGAGATGAGAATGTTCAGTTTTAAACTTGTAATGAATAGTAGATTTTTAATAGATAAGAATATTATGTTCCGATAAACGTTGGAGTTATGATTGAGTAAGTTATATTAATGATTTATCATCATTCTTCCATAGAATTATGTTTATATAACAAAATATTTCGTTATGTTTTACGAAATCATAAGGTAAGTTATTTTAACATTTCGATTATGCATGATAATTTACAGTGCACAGCCGGTAGCGTGTGTAAGAAAACATGCGCCGGCGACGAACTAGACTGCTACATTCTAGATGACAACGGCTTCATCATCCTATCCGAGGACGTGTCCCAAACGGGTCGCTTCTTTGGCCAAGTTGATGGCACCATCATGGATTCTTTAGTTCAGGACCGTATATACAAGAAAGTCACAGTTCATGATCATCAAGGCAGATGTCCTGATTCAAGAAATCCATTTAGTGGTGACGGCAATAAATTAACTGTAAGTTTATAAAAAACTGTTATAATTAATTATTATTTACTACACTTACAGATTATTTTAATTTACTTACAAAACTTTTGTATTGGAAACGTTATTAAACTTTTTTTTTTAATTAAACTAAATATGAGAAATTATATTTTTAGTAAAGTTAGTGTTCAGAATGTAAAATAAATTACTTTTATTAACCTTTCTCAAAGGTCACTTTATCCTTTGCAATGGTTGCCTGGTATAGATAAGCGATAAGGCCGCCAATTGTACCATTAAGTAATTTATGTTTTTTTTTCTCTCATATGTATTTCGGGTGTACTATAAAGTATATTTCATTCATTCATTTAAATTAAACTAAAGATTTATAAATCTTTGACGAAAAGATGTGACATAATTTCCCGAACGCTGTCCAGTCGAGTTGGATACGTCGATTGACCTCTCGGTCAAAGGTGGATTTACTTAGTCGGACAATCTGTCCGACTAGATAGGCTATGTGTAACGTTCAGGTCACACCTACACCGGTATTTATTAGGAATACTGTGTTCAAAATATGTTGCTATGTTGACGAGTATGTTTTTCTTTACAGCCTATGAAACCATTTTCCTGGGTAAGCAGCTACCTCTTTAATCTTCTAGCGGTTTGGTTTCCGCTTTGGGAGACAGTTCGCGCCCGTACAAGTCGTTACACGGACGATGATTTAGGTGAGACTTTCAAAGACAAAATAAAAATACCAAAATAATATTTTTAAACGCCAACTCATGTTTTGTGTGAGGCTATTAATAATAGTAATGTCTCAATAGAGATTAGAAGATTGCTCTCAATAGCGACTTCACAGTACGTTCCATCACCGCCGGCAACAATAAAATTTTGATTGCAATTTTAAGTGCTGATATTCCACGCGCTCGGCGGTGAAGGAAAATCTGCACTTCTGAAAAATAAGAAAAAATAATTCGGAGACATGTGAAGTTCGCCAACACGCATTGGGACAGCGCAGTGGACATTTTCTTGCCCTAAAACCCTCACAGAAATGAGAAGTTGGTTTCAATCTCGGTAAATGAAAGTCTCCAATTTCTCGCTAAATCTTAAAATAGTAATCACATATCAATATCAGACATTAATGGCGTTTTCAAGGGGAGGCTGCTAGCTTGAACTCAAGCTAGAATCCTCCGGATAAAAAGGCTATATCTCCTAAAGTATTAAGTCACAATTTTTTTCTTTAGTCACTAATTGTCACCACTTCCTCACTAAATCTTGAGATAAAATAATTAGATATCGTTGGGTAGGATTCCAGCTTGCAGAAAGCAAATTACCCCCCAATGTGACTTTCGCTTTGAAGTTTTTTTACCGCACGACAATACTGTTAGCGATTGTGACCATTTTCGGTGTGTTATTCACATTATATTTCAATAGAATATAAATTTCTAGTTTATTTCTTACAGATGCAGACTATGAAGATTACGAAAAAGAAGATCTAGAATATGAAGACGTCAGTCGAGATCCGGGACCGTATGAGATAATCGTAGATGGGACTGGAGGAACGACGGTGGGGCGGGAGGGGGGAGAGGGGCGAGAGGGTTGGGTAAGCCGGGAGGGCCCGCCGCGGGAGGCGCCGCGGGAGGCCGCACGCTCGGCGGCCGTGCGGCCCTGCGACACCAGCGCTGAACTCTTCACGCTGCAGTCTGATAAGCTCAACTCCGCGCAACCGTTAAAGGGGAAACTTACCAATTGCCACAATTCCGGTTGCGAGAGGTATATTTTATTTTAATTAGTACTTTGTTTATTCTTTCTTTATCTTTTCTTTAAAAAAAAACGTTACCCCCACACTAGGATTTTCTGCTGTGTCGTGAAGGCAATTTACAAACATAAATTGCACGAGGACAAACATCCAGACACGGAACAATTATTTGTAGGCCATTTGTATGGCTTGTTCCGTGCGGGGTCGATTATTATGTTGGTTATGGTTATATGTGCGACGTATAGTGGCGGTGTCAGAATATGTACAATCCCATTTCATCCCGTGAATGTCGTAAGAGGCAACAGAAGGAAACTAAATCAGGATGGCCAGTATCACCTTCCTGATAACAGCTGTATATAAAATAAAAAAACTGCAGTGCCAACTCGCCTGCCAAGTATGGCGAGTATGGCAAATATCACCCCTATGAGGCAATCTATAAGGGAGACCTATGTTTAGCAGTAGACTTTTGATAGGCTGTATTGGTTACGTATGCTAGTACAATTCAAAATAGGAACAATTTTTACCACGTTTATAGTGCTGAGCTATATTTAAAATTTCAAATCCCTAACTCATTGGGAAGTTAGTTTAAAACAGATTGCTAAACTTGTACTGGACAGACAAACAAACAAAAGGATAGACAACAACGTTGTTTAAATTGCATTGTCATGCAGCTCTGAGCTATATTTAATAATAGCTATGTTTCTAACTCATCGGTAAATTATGTCTATCTCTGATTAAGAATCAAAACGCAGATGCGCTGTCACCCCCGAGGAATGGAATGCTTCGTTTCCGGTAAAAATGTTCTCCGTTTATCTACACTTATGCGAAACACAGCAGGATTAACCGATTCGTTGCGGCACCAATTTTCGACAACTTTTAGCTGTGGCGGCGAACAAATATTTCATGACACACCTATTGTGCCATCCGCCATGTGTAAAAATAATTATCTTTTTTATGCTTTTTTTCACTTGTTTAGACCTAATTACGTTTAGTTGACATCAAACATCAGTTACAAACGGAAAGATATTTGTTTTTAGTGGGTAACTACGTGTTTTTCTATGTGTTTTCTTTGAAATTGAGAGTAAGTGACTTTTTTATGCAGAGATTACAAACATTTTGTACTATTTTTTGTTTTATAAAAAAAATCATTTATATAAGTAGGTACAGCTAAATCACCCTGGAAAACCATGGTTTTTATTAAATTAAATTTTCACCTAATAATAATATTTGTAAATATCAAACAATCAAGAACCTTAATTTGGAAAAAAAATAAGGTTTATGATTCATTAATAAATTTACAAATGTTAAATATTATTTAATGTTATACAAATGTAAAAGTAAAGTCGATGAAAACGTCTAATTAGTAAGAATAGCAAAACAAGTGTTTTCAAAAGGAAACAAACTCCGGCGCTATACGGCGGCGGATTGACGAAAGACTATTTATTAGCGAATTTTTTTATGCATGAACGGTTTCAAACTGTTTCAAGCAAAAATAAGCCTTATACCATATCGCAAGAGCACATGGTACTTCGTAGGTCTATTCGGCCATATGATAGTAATAAGACGGCTGTTCAACCATTTTAAGCAAAATTAAACAATAAGACAAACGCATTGTTTTTTTTTTAACAGGAGGCTTGTTTTCCAGAAATTTATATACAACTTAAGTTTGTGAGTGATCGCAATGAATGCTATTATTTGTTACTTATTAGACTATTTTTCCACAACATGACTGAAAACCCACAAAGTAAAAAGAGTACCATGTACAAGTTCAAAAAAGGTTGTCAACCCCTAAAAACTTTAAATTTTCAAAATATCCAGAAACGAAGCTGCAGGCATGAACTACTTGCAAAATAATGAATATTTTGTTCTGGATAAATTTTCCAAAAACGCAATTTGAGCGAGTTATAACGACTTTTAAAAAGACACGACTCGTGTGTCATACGCCACACACAAAAGTAATCGATGGCACGCCTGGTGTGTCATCCGCACTGAAGCGGTTAAGCTGCTATTTTATACTGGTATTCTCTGAGAGTGTTTTTCCCGGTCGAGGCGACTAATTCGTACAACAACCATAATATTATTATAGCTGCAGTGTGGCTCTACCACGTCATATACAGAGTAGTGTACATGCGAGGCACGATTTAGGCAAGGAGATGCGAAAAAATTACTTTATTTAAAACGTTTTTGCTTATTATTAGCAAATTAAGAATCTTAATATACCTAAATATAGCTGACCTAATCTAATTCAAAAACATACCTTTTATATTATACCGAAAAATTAATTATTATATTATGGTTATCGCATCAAAGAACGAATTATAATTTTTGGAACGAATTTCTTTATCTGACGGTACGAATTTGGCGGAAGGGGGCTAGGCGTCAAAAAGTGTAAGATTTTTCCGTCACGACCCCTTCTGACGTAGTGTAGACGGCCTTGGCGGCTATAAGGAAGCGAGATGGAATAATATCCATCTCGCTCGCACTTTTTCTTATCTTGCCATGAAAGAAATATTATATTATTTTTAAATGATGCTTCATTTTAATAGATGCTATTAAAATCAAGTTTCATTTACTTGTATTTGTTAATCAATAATATAATACATTTATCAATAATAACATACTACGAAAGGAACTTCGTTCCAACCGAGTATTCCACGACACTCACGCGTGTTTTTTATCTCAATTAATATAAATTATCGGTATTTTAAAAATCCATTCGATTTCGAATTTGATTGAGTATTACGCGCACATTTTTTCCGAGCATATACAATTTCAAGAAGTAACAATTTTTGCGCGTCATAATCGTGTGTATGTTTGATGTGCATGTTACGTTGTCGGTGGCAGGCCGTTCAGCGTGCAGAAGGTGCCGCACAGCAACCTGATCCTGCTGGTGGTGGACACGCTGTGCCCGTGCGGCGCCAAGCGGCTGGACGTGCGCGCGCGCGAGGCGCCGGCGCGCGCCGCCTGCCGCCGCGCGCCCGCCGCCGCCGCGCACCGCCGCCGCCCGCGACACTGCGTCTCCTACCACCCGGAGGTAATGCCGCACCCTTCGTGCCATCTATGCCAAATACTCCCTATCATACAATCTATGGGAAAGGTCCATGTTCAGCGGTACACTTTAATGGACAGTAACGGTAACTGTAACGGCCCGTCTCGACAGAGCCTTCATAGACCAAACGTATCTCGTCATCGAACATGCAAACAATGTAACAGTTCTAATATAAAATATTCTCAACCCTTAAGTTATACGTAATAGATAGAAAATCCCATTTCTTCTTTTAAAACTTATATAATAGGCGTATACGCCTAGACATCTGTCACAAAAGACTAGGTAAATAATAGTTTGAAATTACTTAAATATGTAGTAAATCACCAATGATAAATAATAAATTAATTTGTAATAAAAATATTAATATAGCTTTTTTTATTCAGGAAATCGAAATCCTGTCTTGCGGGCGTGGAGCTTCGTTCCGGCCGTTGGCATTCCTAGTTTTGCTTCTGCCCCTATGGCTGGGACTTGCGACGTGACTCTCCCACATTACATCAGTACGCGGATAACTACCCGCCCACCGTTCCCCAACAAAACCACTACATGAAGCTTATTAATGTATCACACGAAGATCGGTTTTCACTCGCTAAAAGAAAATTCAGACAGAAGAGCCTCGCTATTACGAAAGAAATTTCGTCACTATAGAGCCCGGTGCGTGCGGACGATGGACGATCCGTGTAAAATGTGAAAGTTGAAGACTAAAGTGCCCCTCGGCCCGTGATTTTGCATTTCTTAGGCACGTAATTTATACGCGTGATGTTTTTGGACTTTTATCGATTTTTATTGACTGAAGTTATGGTCCGACCAAGTGAACTTTCAATCTTGTTTCGCAATAAGAACATATTTCGAATAGATTTAAATATATTCTACTCATTTTCCGTTAAGTTGTCGTCACGTTTATTGTAACTACGATATGGTTAAAGTAAATAGGTAGGTAAATAATATCTTGTTATATTTAATTGAGAATTATCGTAAACTTGGAGATCTTACAAATTATAGCTAATGTTAACAAATATTGAAAAACATAAATCGATGTAAATTTATAATATCGTTTAAAACTGTTTTAGAAAAATATACCTACGTTGAAACCTTTTTCGATTTCTTTCTCATTGTATAACATGCAAATTATTCTAAAAGATAATTTAGATGCCTAGATTATATGTAAATATGACTACAATTAGTTGTTTTTTTTTTTCTTAATTTATTTGTGCCTGTGTATATTTTAAGTGTTCATACATATAAGGTGACGCCGCGAAGCTAACAATTCTTATAAATTTAATCTAAACTATATTTAGTTAATACTAAGCGTAAACTAACAAGATATGTTATGTAAACAAAATAAAATATTTGATTGTTCATTAACTCGCTAAAAATTTAAATATAATAAGCATAACAATCTTATGTAACAATCTAAAGTGATAATAATTTAATATATTTTGGCAATAGCGCATACACACTTAATATACGTGTTTTGCCTAGTCCGCAAAAAATTACAAGGCGTACAATGTCCGCTCGCAGCGTCACTTTTTCTGGCCAATCTCATTCGCTAGTCGTTAGAGATTATCTTACCTAATCTTCAATAATGTTGTATTTGAAACTGTGAGCAGTTCAATCATTCTTGTAAATATTTTACTAAATTAAATGGCCTATAAAATTTAAATAACGCGTGTCGATAATTTGCATATTTCGTAAGCTTATTTGATATTAATACTGGTTCAGTCTCGAATCGTGAAATTAACGGCACTACGTGGGCACATATTTGTAATTTGGGAATCATTTTGCAGCTCTAATCAACAGTGTAGTAAGTCATTATTTGTCTATGTGAAGTTCTGTATATTATAATTGTAACCCTTGTCGAACTCAGCGTGAAAATTATTTATTATGTTAATAATAATATGTTATTCGGAAAAAGGAGAAACGATAGGGTAGAGTGGAAAGTTCATTTGAAAATTAAGAATCCATTTGAAATTAATGATATCGACGTTACTGACTGTAATCTTATTTCTCACGACAGAAATTTATAAATTATTATTATCAGATCTGAATGTTATAGAGAAGAAAAAATCAACCCCGTACATATAAGTAATTTTATACAAATACACACTGAATCATTACCTATATATTAAGGCTTACTGTTGTCCATTAAGCAAATTGTCTAAGAGCATGTAGAGTGTAAAATTACAAATTATCGTAATCAAAAATAAGAGATCTCAATAATTTGTCAGTCGTTAGAGTTACCAATTTAATTCCCTGCATATAGATAAGCAAAATATGTATATAATTAAATAATTGTATTAGTTGGAGATAATTAAGAATTTTACACTCTTGGCAAGCATTCCAATATTCTGAAATAGTACAAAATCAAACAATTAATCAAAAATAATTGTCGCATTTTGTGTACCAAACCAAAGTCCCTGTTCAGACTACACACAGTTTTTATTCAAAGGGACCGATAGTTACTAGACTTGTAAACCGTGGACAGCGGTAAGCTCAATTGTAATGCTGGATACAGACATAGTAACAAAACCAGTGGCCAAGGCAAATGAATGCGTTCCAAAAAGGTAATTCACGTAAAGTTGATTCTGATAGCGTATAATATAATCCATAACATTGAAGTATAATGTAGTTACGTAATAAATCTCAATTACCCATAATTGACAATTTAACTATTTACGCTTGCCTTGCGCTGCGAGGCGATTTGATTAAATTATTAATCAAATTGACTAAACACGACAATAACTCAAAACATTTCAATCTATAATTTCGCATTACTTGCTGTGTCCAGCGTTGTACATTTAATTGAGAAATAATAGCAATTAATTTGATCACAATAATCTTTTGATGTTGAAATGACATATAAGAAGACGTTTTCACTTTTCAAGATCCCAGAGTCAGCAAGGCACTCTAAAATAATGCAATTTTTTGTAAGCGTGATTACTGTAATCAAATTAAAATCATATATTAATAGCTAGATGTTCATAACCTCTCTAACAGTTATTGAGATGCTTTTGAAATATGTAAATTTTGTATAAATAAATCATACAGTGCAGAGTTGATATATGGCATATTGTTCGTGTCTATCGAATGGCGAACGACTGGTAAAGTATTGAATGTGCTTCTAGTAAGCGTCGAGTCTTCCATAGCAGTCGAACGCGCGGGTCGAGTGTTTTACTGTAACCTTTAAGTATTAAGCGATAATAATAGCGTATTTATACTAAAAAAATAGCATAGATGCCCGTGTCATGTGAGCGGGCGTACTTCGCAGGTTTGAATTCTATGTAAGTATAGAAATAAAACAAATACCTCGTTTAGTTACGCAAAATGTAATAGCTAGACAGTGTTAGTACTCGTTTCGCGTTTAATTTTTGGACATATCAATTCAGGCACCAAATGAGACTATAGCATAAGGTTTTTGGGTATTTTCAATTTATAATTATGAATTTATCTCCTGTTACTTACTTATAGAGTAAGTAGCAGGAGATAAATTCATAATATATACTGCTTTTTTTAATGGATCATCCATAAGCTGTAATATTTCGTGCAAACAATTATGAAATCTGTTTCAATATTATTGAATCATTTTTGAAATTATATTTACGTAAGGAACATACTCCGGATTCGTAACATTTCATTTAGCTAAGATATTATCAAAAAGTCCGTCGATGAATATCCATATCATACACGATCATAATTGTTTTGGGGTGTTAGTTGTAGTCCATAAACCAGAACCACAATAACGATGGCTTGTAATTCGAAACTCAATATTTTACACAATTTATTAGGCTGTCCGATATTATCCAATACTTTGAATTTTTTTTTTATTAATCTATTATTTCCTTTATATGAAATACTTGAATTGTAAACCCAGGACAATTCAAATAAATTTCGGATCAGATGAAACATCCAGAAAATCGTTTTTATCACATATCCTAAAATATCAAAAATATCATAAAGGCAATACGTTTATATAAGTGTGATGTTAGTACCAAGTTCACTTTATCGGTGTACATTTTTCTACAATTTTTCAATGTATTAAATTTTAAATTGCGTTTCAAATATTTACGGTAAATCTGTCAATCGTATTCTCGTTAACGCTTCTTAGAAAATATAAATTAAAATCTATACAAATAAATTAAAAACGACATCATTTGGCAAGCAGATTTAATGTCGTTGTAAAGATTTATGTATCATCTTTATTTATTATAAGTTAATTAAAAATTGATATAGTTGTTGTATATTTGAGCGTGGCCGACTCTGTGAACATGGTTATCTAGTATAATTCTAGTAAAATACTATTCTTTTTGTTACTTGCAAATTCATGCTATAGATATACCATAATTACAATAATAAAGTTCTCTTATAATATTGTTACGAAGTTTTATTTTAATAAATCAAAAAATAATAATCTCAATGACTTTTAATCAAATACGGATATATATTATATACACTGTCCTTTAAGGAAGACATGTCGAATGGAGTGCTTACTATCACGACTTACGGTAATGATATACCGTTTCGATACCGATTAAAGGTCAACGCGTTGACTCTCGAATAACCGGAAGGTATGATCTGCGCTTTCTGCCGTGTTGCCACTCTGGTTCCATTGCGGATATTCTACGTAAAATAAATTATTTCGCAGAGACATGCCAAAAACATTAAATATTAATATATTATACTAGACAAGGATATAGTCCACGGGCCCACATACAAGGGATTTCAGTGATTAATAACAGGCTGAAAGTTTATACACAGCTTCGTTTTGACGAGACACCCAACTTTTATCATTGAACCAAATTCTGATAGTGGGAGGAAAAAGCGCGATAGGGAGCGAAACACGTCGATTTGATGAGTGTCCCAAATTAAATAATGACAGTTTCTAAAAATCAATACTTCGAGAAAATACGATGGAAAACTGAGAATACAAAGCGAATGGTACCTTCCGAGTGACCCCCAGCTACAACATGTCAGAATCGCGCTTTTTCCTCCCACTATCAGAATTTGGTCCAATGATAAAAGTTGGGTGTCTCGTCAAAACGAAGCTGTGTATAAACTTTCAGCCTGTTATTAATCACTGAAATCCCTTGTATGTGGGCCCGTGGACTAAAAGCCCTCTATGTAGCTCGCCGAGTGAATATGTACTGTTCATCGTGATCATCTGTGCTTTTTATAGAGACCCGAGTCCGATGCAGTTGTAAAAGCCTCCTGGCTAACAACACAAACATCATCAAAACCCTGAGCTAAGAGTGAAGTGCATGAAAAGCTGAAGGGACGGAATACCGGCCTTAGGTTTTTTGAGTGGCAGCCTCGTATTCGAGAGCTTAGTGTTTGGCAACTCATCGGAAATGACTGCTGGTATGAACTGCGCACAAGATAGTTCCACAAAACGGTGAAGAGTATAACCGGTGTAAAATATCGGTGATAAAACCGCAAGTAGATTAAGATTTTAGCATTTCCATGACACAACTGTCGTTCTCGCCCTCCCTGCAATCGTTAATCCACGGATACGAACCAAACATCAAGCTTCGTCTTTTGAAATGCTTACAGCGAGAAACTGCCAGTGCCCATCATCATTATTTAAAGGTTTGCTTGAAGAATGTTTACTTACATAATATAAAATTTATGTGAGGGTAGTACAAAAATGTTGATGTCGTCACCACACTGCTGAATCGCATAGAACTTGCAAAGTACTAGTATATTTAGCTCCAGACCAGATTTAGTAGTTGCCAAAACAAAAAAAAAACAGTAAAACAGTTTACATGATCCGATGGTAAATTTATTGTATAAATTAGTACACCAATTACATGTACAGACTGGCCGCGAATATAATGTCACGTTTAAGCATTTTGATCGCTTCACTGAACTTGTTCTCCAAATCAGTGTTGCCAATGTTCTTCGCCGCCTGACAGAGCTGTCTAAGTACCTCCTCCAGTCGTCGTATACACCTTATAATGGACCCTGTGTAAAAAGTTTAAAAATTAGATTGGTGTACACTTTAAAAGAAACGAGACCCAAACGCATTGTAGTGTACAGACTAAGGTCCCATATCGACACTAAAGTATTATTAATACGTCGTATATGCCAAACAGACAGGCGCAGGACATTATTACGTGCTTTCCGAAGCACGGGGGTGAAAAACCGCCTAATTCCTGACTTAGGACAGCCACTGGATCTTGACAAAAAAATTCAATAACTGAATTTTTGGGATTCGAACCCGTAACCTCACGATCAACAGTCGCGTTTAAGAATACTAGACCAACGTGGGCATTCCCGATGCTCCCTGATTCCCTCACTATCATTGTTTCATGGGAGTACCGTCCCATCGAACTACGAGAGTGAGGGAATAGAACACTATAATCCTGTCCTGTGCTAGATGGCTAGTCTCCGTTAAGGCTGGCCGCCGTGATGGAAATTGGCTCTGGAGGACAATATTACATTACGCCAAACAGTAAATTTATAGGAAAAATGTTTAAATGATCAAAAAAATTATATAAAAGAAGATAAGTTCAACTACCAACAATATAATTTAAAATGAAAAATGTTGTACAGCCAACTTCAATATAAGTTATTAAGTATAACTAAAAAACTATTGGTCTGACCTTGATCAACGAGAAGTACCAGCTTTCAAATAAAAAAGAACGATCGAAATCGGTTCATCCAGTAAAAAATTATGAGGTAACACACATAAAAAAACATACAGTCGAATTGAGTACCGTCTCCTTTTTAGAAGTCGGCAGGAAAAGATAAATGTAACTAGTCTAATGGTTTACCGGCTGTGAGATGTTGTATCTGTGTTCTCACAACAACGCATCTGAATCCCTCTTTCCACATTTGTTCCTGTGATAGTAACACTAGACCATGAGGAATACCAAGTAAATCTCTTTCATTCATTACAGCCTCTAAAACCCATTGTTGAACATGAGGTTGTCCCCATTGATTGCCTCATAACAGGGATATTTGCCATAGTTGCCATGCTTCGCAGACAGGCTTAGCAACCGCAGTTTTAAATTATATTATCAGAAAGATGCACCCACGGAATAATACGAGGTAGTTGATTCTGATACGCCGTCATTACAAGGCGACAGTGTTCTTGGCAGAATAATAATGAACAACAGCAAATGTACAGCAAGAAAGTGACACTTAAGAACCTATAGACGACAACGATCGATTCATTATCATCATCATCATCATCACAGCCCTTCACAAGTCCATTGCTGAACATAGGCCTCCCCGAAGGAATGCCACAAAGCACGGTCCTGAGCCACCCATCGACTTCCTGCATGCCTTACCAGGTCTTCACTCCATCTAGTGGGGGGTCGCCCTACACTTCGCCTACCAGTACGAGACTGCCACTCGAGAACGTTTTTTCTTCATCGGTTGTCGGTTCTTCGAGCTATATGGCCGAACCATTGCCACTTCAGCTTACTAATCCGTTAGGCTACATCGGTCACTCTGGTTCTTCTGCGGATATCCTCATTTCTAAGTTTATCAAGCAAAGAAACCCCGAGCATAGCCCTCTCCATAGCTCGCTGAGCGACCTTGAGCGTCCTGTATAGGGCTAGCAGTGAAGGAGCAAGTCTCACATCTATAAGTCATCACTGGCAACACGCACTGGTTGTACAATATCGTTTTCAGGTTTTGAAGTATACCTGACTAGAAGATGTGTCGTAATTTTCCGAACGATCGATTAACAGGTGCCAATTACGTGAGGTGACCTAATTACGTATAACATTTGTGCTCAGTGCTCACGACTCGGTATCTTGTATTATATTCTACATTATCATTATGGATTAGACATCAGCGCCATCTACCGGGTCCAATTGTGAATCTAAACCATTCCCGAATTAACTTAATCACACACACGGGATTTTATCAAAATCAGTACAGCCACATACATAAGAACAGAATTATATATAAAAAGATAGGGGTATGAGATGCAGTGTGTGTGCGGTGACGCTAGTTCCGCTGCCCAATTGGGTTTTAGTTGGTAGTTGGTGATTAGTTAAGCCGACTGGCACTTCGATAGTCTATTCGCCTGCTTAGCGAAACGAGTGAGGCAAATCTTCCCTGCAACGGTAAAAGCCCATGTCAAGCAGTGGATTTCTATGAGCCGATAAAAAAAGATTAATGTATGCATCGTGTAAGTTAAAATACAATAATATCATGCAATCTATTAAAAATAGTTATCTTTATAAACCAGCTACACTAAAACTCTTCAGAGCTCAAAACTCGCGCCGTCTTTTACAAACGGCAGCACTCACCTTCGAACACGTCAGTCATCTTGCATATTTGCAGGAAGTTGGCGCCCTTGCACCACGCGAGCACGACGTCCATTAACGTGCATTTGAATTTCGATACATACTCATCTTCGTCCAAATCCATTTTCGCGTCTATTGACACTTTCGCTATTCGCCGGGCGTATTCCTACGGGTAAAAGCAAAAATATTATTATTATTATTACATAAACACCAAGTGTGTTAGCTAAAAAGCTGATGCATCTTAATGTTTGGTGATTTAATCCAATGTGTTCTTGAAAGCGTTCAATGTAGAAGCATCAATCACATTTTGCCGTAGCTTATTCCAGTTGGTGACAACACTATTTGTAATAAAATGCTTCATGGATTCCGCTTGGCAGCCCTCTGGCAGAGTTTAAAATATATAACTCCTAGCATAGCTTTAAAGTTTGAATACAAAAATAAAACTTTTGTACATTCCCCCGGTCGAATAAAGATGAAAAACAAATAATAGTAAAGATATGGACGTTAGCGACTATCTGCAACTTGATACGCATTGAATTGTCATTTTCCCGATTCCATAATATTTTTAGGTAATGATAATAAAACAAATCCGATCAATATGCTTTGGGCAGCCGACTGATAGCAACCTAATAAATACAATCCATCAATTTCTATCCTCTCATGGATGTGGTTAGCCATGGGAAAAGCCAAAGGGATCTTATGGTCTTTGACGAACTGATAAAGAAAAAGAAACGAATTATTTAAGCAACCTCCAATATAAACGCAAGATAAAAATATTTGAAACAATATGAATAAAATCTTTTAAAAAATTAAAACAATGATGTGGCCTATGCCTCATTTAAACTTTAGAACTTAGAACACATTGCAACTAATACTTTCCATTCAAAAGATATTTTAATATCTGTTTTCTCTTGAAATCAAAGCATATTAGAAAGAACATACCTGTAATTGCCTAAGCACACCGCGTAGCTCCTCGCCAGTAGCGGAAGATTGCGAGGCATTCTCGTCGCAAACGAAGCAGCTGACAAGCGAAGCGCTTTGCTCTGGGCTTAGCGCGTTGAATACGCCGTTGAAAATCAACTCCGTGAGCAGCAACTCGTCCGCACTGACACACAATTAAGACATATGATAATTTTATCCTAGCCGATTTCGATTATACTGTGAACTAACTTCCTAATTTTTTTTAATATAGTATTTTCAAAACCAATATACAAAGAATAATACTGGATAAAAAAAAAACCTAATAAAATATATAAAAACAGCGGCATTTTATTTCAAACATAAAATAAACATAATCATAATGAATTAAAAAAGGCTTCTGCTGGTATTATAGTATTGATTTTTAATAGTTAATACTAAAAAATATTAACGGATACGTCTTTATAGATACACGATTCTGAATATATCTGCTATTTTATATAACTTCAATTAATATCAAGTTAGTTAATTGAAGTTATACAAAATTGTAGCCATGTGGTATCATCGTAAGAGCCCCTCATCGTCATATGTCACATTTATACGTGGTAGAGCCATGCTGCAGCTATATTAGTTGTATAGTTGTAGCACGAATGGGTCGGCTCGACCGGGGAAGGACCACGCTCTCACAGAATACCAACATAAAATAGTAGCTTAACGCTACTGTGTTTCGTATGGTGTGTGTATAGAACCGGAGACCCTTTTTACTGGAAATGAGGCATTCCATCTTAATCCTCACGGGTGACAACGCATCTGCATTTTGATTTGTAATAGAGCATAGATGTAGATGTCTATGGGCCGCAGCAACCACTTACCATCAGGTGGACTGTGTGCTCGTTTGTCACCCTTATCCTATAAAAAAAAAATTATCTTATATCGTCCCTTACGTACCGTCAGAGGCAACTATGGACTGTTGTTACGTGGTAGAACTACACTGCAGCTGTACGAATGGGTCGGCTCGACCGGGAGGGACCACGCTCGCACAGAATACCAGTGTCAAACTGCAGAATAATGCTGTCTTTCTTTCGTATGGTGAGTGTAGAGAACCGAAGAAGATTCTTACTTGAAGATAGATGTGGTTGTCTATGGGCCGCAGCATCCACTTACAAAGGCGCGCGGTTCCGATTGTCATGAATGTTCAGTAGTAGACGTATGATGTGATGTAATAATGATAATGACGATTTAAATAATATTTAAAAAAAAATGTAACACACCTACTTAACTCGCAGGCTATCCGGCCTTTCAACTCGATAACATCTGCCAGAGTACAGTATCCCATTCGTCTAAGGACACGTTTTCTCTTTTTAAGCTCGTCCATGTGAAGTATGCTCTTGGCTTTCTTTAGCTCAGCCTTAGCTAGGGTCAGTTCTTCCAGGTATTCCTGTTTCTTTTCGTAGGCGGCCGTCAAAGCACCACGGCTTTTGTCTTTATGTAATGGATGTGCGTATAGTCTGCAAAAACATGAATTTATAATAACTTCAAAGTCAACGTCAACTCAAGCACGCACGCACGGACACACATACGCAGGCAAAATATAATTTATTTTAAATTTATTTGGATGGGTTAATTTTAATGTTAAGTAGCTTTCTTGTTTAAACAAAGAACTTTTTACATTTTACTAAATAAAATGGCTTTATAAAAACCGTGACTGATCTGAGTTGGTTCCCGCAATTCCACGTCTAAGTCTGTATTTTTCTTTGTAAAAACGCAAGAATGATAACAGAAATCTGAGAATGATGAAACAAAAGATGCCTATAAGCAGTTAATTTTCCCTTTGTCACCTCTTACGACACCCACGGGACGATATGGGGTAGTGGATATTTTTACGCCGCCGCTTTTTTTATAATAAACGATAGGATTTTTTCCTGTATCGTGGAGGCAGTTTACATACATAAATATCACAAGAACAAACATGCAGACCTGGAACAATTGTTTTTAGGCCATTCAAATACTTGTTCCGTGCGGGATTCGAACCCGCGGCCTTTAGCACTGCAAATCATTGCTAAGCCACTGCGCCACGGAGCCGTCAACCACACAACACAATCACCCCTATGGGAAGGTCAATGGGGGAGTGCTAATGAATGATGAATGAATTTATAATGAATGATGAATGAATTTATCACATAAGTTTGTGAAACAGCTTTATTTAATATCTGTAGATCGTAATTTATATGCACAATTAAGGTACAAAATTGATGCGCGAGGTCGGTAACTGCAATATTTAATGTAACCCTCCTATCTTCTTCTGGATGTTTTACTTGTAATTATAAATATTTATTTTATTACTATAAACTAATTTTATTTCTACGGCACTAAAAGAAAATAAATACGCCATACTATACATAATCTAATGGCCCCTCTACACTACTCGAGAAGTTAATCGAAATTGAGCGAGGAGAATAAGTGTAGAGAGGTATACTTCGATTAGCTTCGTGTAACTTCGCTTCGCCTCAAGCGACTTCCGATCGCTGTCGATTTTTTGCGCCTGAGTCAGGCTGGTGCAACTTCCGTAGTAAAAATTATATGTACTTTTAATTATATGTAATATATCTATTAACGACATTGTCAAATCAAGGTTTTATTTTGTTATTAATTTGTATATATTTTATTTATTAAGATTGCTTTTAATTTTGCTATAATATTTACCGTTGTCCATTTGCAAAAAAGTTGAAAATTAAATATGCTTTATAAAACTTGCCAATGAAATTGTGCAAGAAGCGAAAAAAATAATAACAAGAAAAGGCTATTCGTAGCAATATTTCCCTTAGATGATGAAAGGTTTTTTGAAGGAAAGAAAAAACATTTTTGGACTAGACATCTACGTACGACGGGTTTTTATAGTGTAAACAAATTATTAATCACTAGTATAATTGTCCGTTTTTTATTTTATATTTTCTTAATACAAATTTTTGTACTTTATAATTGTTGAGATATAATTACAAATTGCTGTATGTAAAATACATTGAATTATTATCCTCATCGGCATTTTTACTCAATCCCCACGTTAAAAAATTTATTTCTCATAAATAACTCAGCTCTATACTGACTTTTATTATGTAAAAATATCGATAAACAATATATCGATAAAGGTTATATCGATAAAATTATTCGAGGATATAAACATTGCAGCACTATTATAATTCGCGATGTCGTCAGCGATGTTTGTCAAAAATTAAATGTCATGTCTTGATGTTGGTAGAGTAGCTTGTGCGCTCGTTCATACATTTACTTCCTCTTAGGAAGTCCCGCCTCTTGAACGTAGTGATTATATTCTCTTTGGCCTGGGTCAAAAGACTTCGCGAAGTACCCCGAAGGTACACGAAGCGTCTCACTACATTACTCGGCGTACGCCAGTTATATATTTTTTTTATATGTATAAATATTAAATATGTAGCTTGCTACATATTTATTTATCTATGGTTAACTCATTGACGTCGTACTGTTCACACAATTAGGTACTTATAGCAGCTGCCTCTTGAATGTTATTCATGTTAACGGTGCGGGCGGCTCAAGGCGACTGAGCTATTCGCGAAGTTGCACGTGTGTAGTCACGTTCTTCGGACTGCGATTGACTTTGACGAGTATTTCATCGAGGTAACTTCGCGAGTAGTATAGATGAGGCATAAGTTTCTGGGCGAAAATACGAGCCAATAAAGACATTATTGAAAATTAGTAATCGAAAAGAAGGCGGGATTTTGAACCCTATTATTGTGAGATTTCCTTACCGTTCTTCTAACAACTTTATCCTATCCACACACTCTTTAAACACCTGATCTTCAATCTTCATATCCTTAATTGGGTTTAGAAGAGGCGGTCCTTCTGGAAAACGTTTCTTGACTTCTCCGATAGTCTTCAGCACAGACTTACGGTTGTCGGGCGGCCTCAAGTCCTTCGGGTAGTACACGCGAAGAGAACTTATTTGATAAATTAATGTGTGGAGAACTGGGACTACTTCAACTTCGCCACTCTAAAAAACAATACCATGTAAATGACAATATGACAAATAATACAGAGAAATTTCCTTATACTAGGCTAACTAACCAAGACTTTTTTTTATAGAATAAGGGTAACAAACGAGCACACAGTCAGCCTGATGGTAAGTGGTTGCTGTGACCCATAGACATCTACATTTATCCTCAATAAAGAATCAAAATGCAGATGCGTCGTTACCCGTGAGGACTAAGATGGATTGCCTCTTTTCCAGTAAAATGGATCTCCGGGTCTCTACACTCACTATATGAAACACTGCAGTGTCAAGCTGCCATTTTATGCTGGTATTATGTGAGAGCGTGGTCTTTCCCCGGTCGAGCCGACCCATTAGTGCTACAACTATACTACTAATATAGCTGCAGCATAGCTCTACCACGTACAAATACAAACTTCGCATGAGTAGGCAAAGGAAATAGCTCAGTTTGTTAGGGTGATCTCTCTAAGCGTGGACAAGATCTTTATTAATAAAAGACTTGCATTATAAAAACTACTTATCTATAGGAAAGTAAATATTGTAGTAAAGTTGTAGCAAGATGCAATAATATGCTTGAAGTGATGTTCTGCGATGCATTACATCAACGCCACAATTAACACATGGCATTGGTTCCTCATTCTCACTCGAAGTATGTTTAGCAGAGGAGTCCAAGTCCAAGTTCACAAAATAACATCCACAGTGCACGAAAGCAGAGCGAATGTCAGATGTAGATGATGTAAATGTCAGTAAGAGTTGCCAAGAAAAAATAATAATTTGACAATAATCGATTTTTTAGAACCAATAATCTAATCTAAAAAAAAACTATGTTAAAAACTAATAACGTTTTTAATAGTTTTATTTTAAAACTATATAAATAAGTATAGTCTTCTTATATAGTATTGATCGGTACTTGTATTGCAGACAACACTTTTTTTGTTACCATAATTGATTATCGAATCGATTACAGACTGAAATTGATGTTTTATTTCCGTGCTGGTAACACTGCGTCAAACAAATGGCTATGCTTTTTAACTGGTGGATACAGTTTAAATACTCTTTATTTCGACGTTTTATATGTGTACCTGGCTACTATGTGATGTTCAAAAATATTTCCTTCAGAATTAATAATATTGTTTAGTTTAAAATTATTTTTGCCGGGCATCTTGTCCACGCTTATCCGAAACTGGTGATTCCCTTTAAGTTATTAAACATTACTTTCACACAAATTATGACAGCTCACAACTTTTATTGCCACTGACTGAATTATTTTCCCATAATGATTTCTATTAAGTTCATATTGCGTCAATCAGGTTATATTGATACGACTGTACAGGCTCATGTCAAATTATCGATATTTTGTTAATAGTTGCATATACCTATTGTTACAAACGTTTATGATTCAACAAGCGAAGACTCAGATGATAATGACCAGACCATAGTGTAGTTTATATTTAGGTAAATAAGCCTATTCATATACATTATGTATCTGTATTTGATTTCGAACGGTGATTAAAAATGGTGATTGATTATTATAACATAATATATTTTAAATAAATTAAAAATTCACTTATATTCCATTAAATTAATATACAATCATAATAAATTTATTAGAAATTATAGTAATTAATTATTAGTGGTGGTGTTTGGTCATGTTGAAAGAATGAATGAGGAAAGAGTGACAAGCAAATCTATGCTGCAAAAGTGAATGGCAGAGGCGGGAAGTTTATCGACCAAATTGGCAATATATTAAAAATGGGCCAAATTAAGAGTCCCCTTAACCGACGAGCATGTATGTGTAGGTATATGAATGTAAAGGAGTCGAAAGAGGTGTGTCAGGCTCATGCCAAATGGAAGTCCATAGCCTCTGTCATAGATTACTGTATATATACTAGAGATAGTTGCGCGACTCAAATTTAATTTTCTTTAGTCTCGTGCTTTGCATAACAGACGGCGCTTACAAAAGGATCTTGAAAAAAAGGGAAAAAATAAACACATCTGCTGGACGCGATCCAGGGTCTTCAGATTTCGGGACTGCTCGATTATCCACCTGAGCTATTATAACCTTGTTATAATAGCGTTAGCGTTATGGCGAAATTTACCTTCGTATTCTAATAATATTTTAGCAGTTTTTCATTGTCTGAACACACATAAAATGGCATTTTCTAAAAATAAATAATGTTCAATAAATATTAATAACAATTTAAGCGTAACCAGTGACCGCTACTGCGCATGGATTATTGCGTATGCATAGACTTAATATATAAGTGCCCTCTAGTGAGATTAAAATAAGTCTAGCCTAGCGCTTCGTAATGTAGATGGAAGCACATAAAACGTATCATTTTGTTCGTAAAATAATGTTCTAAGCTGCACCCCCATGGCCTCTGTCTACCCCACTGGGTGATCGATGTGAGTGTTTATGTATGTATATTTATGCAAATTTATTAGAAAGCAGAAATCCCGAAAATTTGTCATATAAATATGTATTGATGAGATACATAAATATTATAAAAATAGAAATAATTACCTCTCCAGGAGGACATGGAATCTTGGTATCCGTGTCATCAGGTTCAGATTTTTTCACATGTAACAAAATGTCGACAATAATGACAGACTCTGCCGTTAGCGGATTTTCCTCCTGTGGCTTTTTGCCTTTGCCCATCTTGTGCTTGAAGTTTACTATGATACCCCAATCGTATTCATGTTTTTCTGTTTTCACCTGATCAAACAGGAATGAAATGTATCAAGTTATTAAATTAATAAACTTAAACACAATAACCACCAATGTAAGTATTTTTGTAAACAAGGCTAGGAAAGGCGGTGATTCTATGTCTTCTTTACCAGCTCAGAAAGTCGATAGTAGTACCAGACATCTCACAATTCTGACGCTCCTGCCCGTCACCGGTCTGGGTATATTACATCTGGCGGAAAGGACATGGTTTACCGCCATCGATCGAATGCCATGTGATTTTTTTGGCGATTCTCATATCCTCTTAGGATATATCCAAGACTAAATGGGGTGACGGCTTCTCATACGCCAACTTCACACGGCATGTACCACCATATAGTCTAAGTATCTTAAGACACTACTGAAAATGCTAGAACGATCCGATAGATGGCGGTACAACCATATCGATTACGTAAGCAGTAAAATAGCCGCCTAAGACTGGCAATAGAGAGCTGTGTGGATGGGTTATATTCATGATAAAGATGATAGTACAAATAAATATATTTTATAAAAAAAAACATTGACAACAGAAGACGCAATGAGATACAAATACTCCTTTCTACATCTTATGTATCCTAGGCAAGAATCCCGTTTCAAAATATTGGTTAATAATTTTCACACAACAGCAAATACTTAGTTATCTTTCGCTTAGTTATTTGATTTCTCATTGATAGCTACAACAGCTGTAACACACAAACACTTACTAGTCTTTACGTTGTAGTAAATGATGTAACACAAATTGGATGATATTGAATTGGATTCAATATATAAGCCCAAGAACTTTGCAACACATTTAAACCCAATGAACAATTTGTTCATCATCATAAATTCATTCATTTTTTTAGTCTGTTTAGGCTTAGCTGAGAATGCTTCTCAAATTTCAGATTTGTAGTGAAAAATTGATACATCGAGCCTTCGAATTAATCCTGTTTTTAACTGACCACAATCTATCGACTAAGTAGAATATTGTCCTTTGTTATTTATACCATTACAACTTTGAAAAATCAGTTGTTCTACTAGTTTCTTAGGGTTTGGTCGCATCTACTTCAAAGTATATGAAGTTAAATATATATAAATATTATATATATATAAATATATATAAATATTTTATAATGGCATTTTTTATTATTTACAAGCAACCTTATAGTTTTGCAACTCTTAATAGACATTATACAAAGTACTACACTTTGCAGTTCCTTTAACATGGACAACAACTTCTATAAAAATATTATAACCAAAAGTGCCCTTGAAAAGCTCCGTACGCAATGTTTACAATTTTATTTGGTCTAACACTTTAGTGGGACTTTAAAAGATGCCATAAGTGTTTCCTGGTGTAAAAGACAATATTAATTCCTAGGTTAATTAATATGATCTATCATCTTCATATTAATCAATTATGTAAGAGGAAACAATAATGAACTCTATAATACTGCCATTACAACCTTACGTGCGTATTTCTATAAAAGGAAAACAGGGACCAACCTTGACCAACCTTCCTGGTTGTAAAAACGGCTTCAAATACTCGGGCCGTGTTATAAAAGCACGGAATTGAGCACCCAACAAGTCCAGTTGCGAACGGATACTGCAGTAAGAAGCTATTGAGTGTTCTTGATCTACCGTCAACGCGTCATATTTTTTCTGCTTTACCTTCACCTCTGTGAAAGGAATAGAGGCAATTACTATTTGCTTTTATTGATTATTTGGTCAAATCAAGCTACTACACTACTACAGAGCTATTGTGTAACTCTGGTGGGAATTGTCTGCCGATTGAAATAACTCTGAAAGTAAATGATAACGTCAAAACAAAGCCAACCATGTTTCCCACCCGAGTTACATAATCGCACTACTGGTCTGATCTGAATCTCAATTGAAATCTACATTTTAAGATACTCGTAAGTAAGTGATGCATTTCGTGTCCAGATGTGTTATGATTATGCCAGCCTACCTCTTATTTCATAAGACAAGCGTTATCGGTTATAGATAGGGAACGGGTGAATGCTTCATTGACTGCACATACATTTACACACTATAATATTTTCTGAGGAGTTTTCACTATGATGGCATGGTTTTTATTAATATAAAAAATTAGCAGATTAATATAAAAGATTAGAAGTTTTATATACGGTAGAGCCATGCTACTTTATAACTATATTAGTTATATAGTTGTAGCACGAATGAGTCGGCTCAACCGGGGAAGACCACGCTCTCACAGAATACCAGCATAAAATAGCAGCTTAATGCTTAATAATGATGAGTGTAGAGAACTGGAGACCCATTTTACTGGAAACGAGGCATTCCATCTTAGTCCTCACGGGTGACAACGCATCTGCATCTTGATTCGTAATCGAGGATAGAGGTAGATGTCTCTGGGCCACAGCAACCACTTACCATCAGATGAAATGTGTGCTCACTTGTCACCTTTAATCTATAAAAAAAAGTCAAGGATATTTGGAAATATAAAACTCATTATTAATCTAAATATGGGTTGGATTCTTTTTGAATTATTAGCATTTTAAATATGTTCACAGTTAAACATCCCAGTCCTGGGCAGAGGGCTCATCTCATATTTAATAGGGTAATAGCGAAAGAAAGAAATAGTCGCCTTCGCTTAAGTTTATTTTGCGAACTTCATATAATGGCCTTGAAATACAATTAATAACCCAGACATGTCATTCTGCAAAATCGCAATTAATTTTTTTTTCTTATGCCAATAATGACCGATCTCGGATTACTTGAATACCTACTATGCTACCACAGCATTTACACTACAAGAACTAACAACACATGTATGTTATAATTTATACCTACTGTCAATGAGATCAGGGATGGCAGCTTGGTTTTGGAATTGGAAGAAACTTCTTTCCAACATGTATTCCGGGTTGATTTCTTCCACTCTCAATAAGTTAAGCACCTAAAAGGCAAAATATCTTAAATTAAAATAAAGTAACAGTCTACATGTACGTGGTAGAGCCATGCTGCAGCTATATTATGGTTGTAGCACGAATGGGTCGGCTCGACCGGGGAAGGACCACGCTCTCACAGAAAACCAGCGTAAAATAGCAGCTTAACGCTGCTGTTTCGTATGGTGAGTGTAGAGAACCGGAGACCCTTTTTACTGGCAAAGAGGCATTCCATCTTAGTCCTCACGGGTGACAACGCATCTGCATCTTGAGTCTTTATTGAGGATAGATGTAGATGTCTATGGGTCACAGTAACCACTTACCATCAGGTGGACTGAGTGCTCGTTTGTCACACGATCCTATAAAAAAAAACATACTTCCAACACAACATCCACTTTCTTTTTAGTACAATCAATTAAGGAACATTCAGAGCTACGCTAGCTTAGGGGGTTTATTACGCACACTTGAATTGAATCAAGTTTTAGTGCCGATTTATTATGGTGGCCAAGAAAACATTGTAGAAAAATCATGAAATTTAGCAGCGAGATGGACTTTTCTGTATTATCCTATGCAGACAGTACTCAGGATTGTCTTTTTGGCATTCCTTGATGGAGGTATATATTCAATAGTGGATAATGATTATAATAAAATAAAAAGTATTTGGCAGAAAAGTCAGAAGTACTTTGTTTCTGTAATGATTTATATACTGTTATGTATGTATGTATGTATGTATTATATGCTACAATTTGCGTCGCACTACTTTACCTCCCATTCATTTTTATATCATACTAGCTGGTAGCCGGCGCGTTGCTGCCGCAGAAGAAATAATTGTGGAAATATCGTTTTAAATTTGGTACAGTTATATTGTTTAGTTGGGAATGATAACATATTCATTGAAGTTGAATGGTATATAACTTTCAAATACATTTTTCAGTACGATACGCGCGCCACCTACTGTAAGTTAATTGCACTATGCCTATAACCTTTGCGCAAGTGCAAGCAATATTTTGAAAAAGTTTTACCGCAATCTGATGAAGGCAGCGCATAAAGTACGAACAAACAAACATTAATTTTTATATATAACTTTTACATGTACTTATTACATAGATTTAAAATCAGATGTTTATTTTAAATTCAGTTCACAAAAAAATATTCACGGAAAAATTAAGTCACTAGAAAAAATTCTTAAAACAATACCATATTATATGTGAGGTGGAATGCAGAATTTATGGGATCAGCTTTGCCTTGAACCATGCCTTTGACAACAGAGGGCGTGACCTTTTGATCGATCATGAGTATCACAATACCCTTGTCGTCCAAACCTCGTCGACCAGCTCGACCTGACATCTGTATGTACTCGCCAGATGTTATCTGAGAACAAATAATTTTATATTTTTATAGTTTTAAATTACCTGAGACACGCTTATCCATACATTTAAATATTAAAAAACAAATAAAGATTTAAAAAAATATTCAAGAATTTTCGAGTTATTTGTGAACCATTTAAAATTAAAATGAAAACCGAACTCGCGACACGCAGCTAAACACCAAGCCAATGCACTATTAAACCATCAACTCTACAACTCTACTGTTATCTATGTAACTATTATACGAGTACAACAAGATCACAAGAGTTGTTTGTTGATAAGTGAGTAATTGAAAAGTACCTTTTATAACATATGTTCTTATTGCTCTAAAATAACAGGTTTACCCTTACAAGTTAACTTAAAAAACTCGGAATATTTTTAACATATTGTTGAACATATGAAGGAGCAATGCTGAATAAAAAACAATACTAAGAATCATTGAGAAATATAAAGAGATGTATCGCGATATATTCAACCAATTACGTAAAAAAATTTATTAACGTGCGCAGGTTGTATGGCAAACTTAAACCCAGACAAGGCCAGAGACCTGCCTCTATGTTAGGCAAGATTTATATCCACTAAAAATGTGGTTTAATGGTTGACAATGAGTATGATGATGATGGTGAAGGTAACCGAAATTTCAGTTACCTTTTCGCTGTTATGTCGTGTATTTGTATATTTAATGTCTGTGCAGTGAATAATCAGTGAATAATGATGAAACAAACGGTTAGGTGATGACAAAAACTTGAAATTATACGGTCCCCTTAGACGCCTGAAATTAATATCATCATCAATTGTCTGCTGGGTTAAGCTGTCCAAAGCTTACTTAAAGAACACAAAAAAACTATTTTACTTAACTTTACTTTTTAATAATTTTTATTCATTCTATATAACTCATTCTATTTACATATAATATACGCTGTTAAGATAGTACTTACAAATCTAAAATTCTTTCCGTCGAATTTCTGACAATTTGTGAATACAACAGTTCTTGCAGGCATATTGAGTCCCATAGCGAAAGTTTCGGTGGCGAAGAGAGCCTAGAATGTATTGTGGTAAAATTAATTTTAAAACAAAAAAGAACAGTTCTAATGTTATACATGTAAATCGTTCTCTATCTACAATATCACTCCTTGCCACGAGGCAAGGCAATTGGACGACCAATGCATATCATAATCAACTTAGGAAATGCTAGAAGCTGGTAAGTACCAACAGAATGAATGTCAGGTGGTAAATCCATGTTGTATAGACAAATAAATAAATTGATTTGTAAGGAAAGTACCTTTATAAGTCCTAAACCAAACAAAATCTCAATAGTTTCCTTCAGTATAGGAAGCAGTCCACCATGATGTATTCCAATGCCTCTCCGCAACAACGGAATAACATTCTCAACTTGAGGCAATTTTCGGTCCTCTTCAGATAAAATGTCCATTGCATTGTTAAAAACCTCGTCTACAAGTTTTTTCTCCTCAACTGAAAATATAGAAAACAGTCATAATATAGTAACTAATTCATAAAAATCTATCTTAAGTTATTAATAACAAGAAGCCTTAAGATATTAATAACAAAGCCTATCATCAAAGTACATTACAGCTTATAAAAGTCCACTGCTAACCATAGGCTTTGCCGTAGATTGCCGCATAGGAGGGATTTTGCCATATTTGCCAGTTAAAGTATAATAACCATGTAAGGACAGTGTAGGTATATCCACTACCCCATATCGTCCCTTGGGTGTCGTAAGAGGCGACAGAGGGAAATAGAAACAGGAGATAGTAACAACATCTTCCTGATAATAACTCTAGTAAAACACTTACAGATGGATGATTAAACGAAAATGAAACCTAACTTACTTGTATTAAAGTCCAATTTGGCCATTTGCATTGCGTATGCTTCACAGTCCTTTTTACTAAAACTGAATATGATGACCGGCGCAAAGTTCCGTTCCATGATCATTTTAACTATATTGAATATGTTCGTCTGGTTGTTACCACGGGCTGGCCCACCTCGACGACCGCGTTGGTCGCCTTTACCAGCATCACCAGCGTTACTTAGAACTGCCATTGCCGTATTGAAGTTGTCTTCTTTGAATTGACCCTGAAGAAGTAAATATAATTAAGAATGGGTGTGGGTACTGTTCAGTCTGCACCAACTACCAACTTTTCATTTGGATACTAATTGTAAGTTATGATATCTACTTGTTTAACAAAAAATTACAAAATGTAAATTTTATCTAAAAATAATGTACCTAATTATAATTCCATTACGCTTCGTATAATATTTGTTTACTAGGTATGCAAGGCAAATAAGGTCACTAACATGCAAATGTAGCAGACCATGTGTGGACCACAAAATTTGAACATCCACAAATTAGGTGAATGCTTCTGTTAAAATATGTTTCAAACTAATACCTGTTGTAGTTTATATAAATATTAATGTAAAAATTACTACAAATAAAATGATAAACTGCTACAAAAATATTTTGAAGGAACAAGCTTCAAATATAATTTTCATAACTTACCTTCTCATCAACAACAAGATGTATGCCGTCACCACCAGCTGGAAATATGTAATGCTGTAACGGCGTAGGTCGGTACTCTGTGTAAACCACATGACAGGGTTGAGAGTGTAGACGGCACACCCATTCTGCGAACTGACGCGCATTCGGAATTGTGGCCGAAAGAAACACGTAGTGTACATTATCCGGCAGAAGGATGAGGGTCTCTGAGGGTCGGAAATAAAATAATCACCATTAATCTGAAACGTTTGGACAATATACTGTAGGTCGCTTTTTACAGCTTAAGGGGCATACGGAAATTACAACATACCCCCTTCCCAACATACCACAACCGAAACGTCTGACCGATGTTGTTGAAGACTTGTTGCAGCACGAGATATTCCAAGGTCCCATTTCATGGATGTCTTAAGAGACGACTATTATAAAAGCGAGAAAGATCTTATAGCTTCTGTTTGAGTTTTAGCATCTCGCTTACACCAGATGTAACAGACCCAGACCGGTAATGTGGAGTAATCACAAAGGTGTACTCTATGCATGGTATTGTGAAGGTTAACTTTAAGAAACAATTTGGATAGTAAAAATGGTTTTGGTTTTCATTTTATATAAAAACAAATAACATATAAGTCTTAGGCCAATTTTAATGTAACTTTTAAATTAGAATAGGAATTTTGTAATAATTAGAACAGAAGACATTTTAGTGTAGAAACTGTGTGCTTGCTCTGTTCGATTGTAAAAGGGTGAAATATGTGGCCAGCATTGTCACATTATCATTACAGCCCTTAGAAAATCCACTACTGAACGTAGGTCTTCCCCAAGCAAATGCACAAAACACAGCCCTGAGCCAACTGCCTCAATCGACTTCATGCATGTCTTACCAGGTCATCACACCATCATGAGTGAAACCATCCTACACTTTGCTCAACGGTACAAGGCTGCCACTCGAGAAAGTTTGTTCCCAATAGGTTGTAAATTCTTCAAGCAATATAGCCAGCCCATTGCCACTTCAGGTTACTGTTTTACTGTTATTTTTCATTGTTATAGATTCTATAAGGCGGAGAAACTCCGTGCATGTACTTGCTAAGCGACGGTAAGTATTCTCATATGGCCATACACATTTGTATTGTTGGTGTCCTGAAAGGCAGCTGCTTAAATTATTTACCGTCACGCCATTCTTACCGGCGAACACTCTCAACGTAGAAACTTAATTAAGAGGGTGCAGCGGGCAGGACCTCATAAGTCCCGCCAGACTTACCTTCCCACACTACTCCTCTCTCCTTGTCTCTCATATAATGAATTTCGTCAAATACAACCCAGCCTACTTCTCTCATTATTTCAGATCCTCTGTAGAGCATGTTTCTTAAAATCTAAAAACAAAAAACAAAAAATAATAAAAAAATGGTAAAAATCAATACATATCATAACAAAAAATATAGAGTAATTCAATGGTGAGTCATATTTTATACTATTTTTTTTATTTCACCCGACTGCCCCACTGACTATCTAATAGTTATAACTTTTAACAAAAAGTAAAAATGGATTTCAAGTTGGTAAAAAAGAAATTATTTATTCGGATAGCAAATAAATTCTTCTTTTATAAGGGTAATTTTTTTCTCTGAATACCCTTAAGGTATAACCTGTTTAATAAAAAAAGAATCATCAAAATTGGTTCACAATCTTCGAAGATATTACGTAACATACATACAAAAAACATAAACTGTAATTGAGAACCTACTCATTTTAAAGTCTGTTAAAAAGGAATAAATTTTTCGAGTTCTAGGTCTTTGAAACATTTGTGATCATCATAAAATTCTTCACATACATTGAATGACAGCCACTAAATTTAAGGACACAATTTTAGAGATGTAGTCTAGTAGTTCATAGCCTCATTGGTTAATGTTTCATTGTGTAATTGATGATTACCTATAAGTGATTGTGCATTATGTTCAAGATACCAAGCAGTAGCAATTAAGATTTGGTCTTAACAGACAGACGGACAACAAAGTGATCCTATAAAAGTTATGATTTTCTTTTGGAGATACAAAATCCTAAAAAAACAAATATTAAACTGGAGGAGAATGGCGACAGTCCGAAATCTCTTTTTAATGGAAATACACTTTATGAAAATTGTTAAAAATACAGTGTTTTTATATCTGTTCTGTATGTAATCTGTTTTTATACACCAGAATGAGGCAGAGTTAACATAGTGGGATCTCAGTCTACAATAGGCATTAAGCTTAGTAATTAAAAACAAAAGATATTACTGTAATGTTTTATAATTACTAATGGATTTAAATGGATTTAAAAATGTGCTTCAAGTAATAACTTTATTACGTTTTGCTAGACTTGAATTGATATTATCATCAAAAAATGTAGTCTGTAATCTATAAGCAGCCAAAGATGGTATAGCACACTGACTTAACTTTGCAAAAACCTGTACACTCTTGCTTTGATGACACCCACATTATAATAGGAATTAAACCGCATCTCAGTCTCCAAATCCAACTAGCTATTAAGACTAGAGGTGGAATTGAAAAATTATGCGTACATACAAGCAAACATGTGTATATATATATACATACACATTTTTACACAAAAATACATATGCGCATAATCTAAAAGCTTATACCTATATTATATAACTACTAAGACAGTATGGTAATAAACAAAATAATTTATTAATAGCAACAAGGAAGTTACAAAGCTAGATCACTCAAAACTCATTCAAAATATAATAAAAATACCAAGTATGAAAAAAACTATGTGATATTATTTCATGCATATTATTTACCTCAGTTGTCATAATTAAACATGATGCTGATGGATTTATAGTAACATCACCAGTGATGAGCCCAACATCATGAAACTCCTCTGAAAATTCCCTATATTTCTGATTTGACAATGCCTTGATTGGTGTAGTATATATAACTCTCTGCTTATTCTTTAAGGATAGAGCTATTGCATACCTAAGAAAAACACATACAACTATAAAATTATATAACTATAGTTTAGAATATGTTTTCTTCCTTGCACAACTTCCTTGTGGAATCGATTACCATCAGCGATTTGTCCAGACCGATACGCTTAGGGACCTTCAAGAAAAGAGCCTACTCCTTTTTAAAAGGCCGGCAATGCATCTGCAATTCCCCCGGTTTCCCTGGTGTTGCAGTTGTTCATGGGCGGCGGTAGTCACTTACCATCAGGTGAGCCGCATGCTCGTTTACCTATAAAAAAATAAATAAAAAAAAGTATAATTTAGATTTTATATAAAAAGAACAATTTACATAATAATAAATAATTAAATAATAAAACAGTACCTATGAATTAGAATTAGTTATTGTTAGTTAAATATTATATATCAATTAATATAATACACTATCAGCTAAATTATTTATAAAATTGACGAAGTGACAATTGAACAAACAGTCACAACACATGGACATCAACAAACTTGAGACAAAGAAAGCTACAGATGAGTTGTCACGTCTGAGAATTAAGGACTGGAATGCCTCACAGCCTCTAATGATACTGACTCTCTGTCACTGAACTGAACTGAACTCATCAGTGCGAGCATTACTATTTGGCGAAATATATAGAAAGGGTTTGTTTCTTGAGAACTGGAGATTAGATAAAAATCAATCAGAAATTATGTTAAAAGAAGAGTAGTAACTGTTTCTAGAGCAAAATGTCAAAATCTTTAACAAGGTATTGAATATATATTAGATAAGAGCGCCGCGCCGGCTCGCCGCCGTCGCCGTGAGTTCATGTCGACGCGACGTCACCGAGTGGAGCACGCGGCGCGCCGTCGCGACGATTCGCAACTTGCTTTCCTGTTTGCCCACGAGGCGTCAGGGGAAGCCCTGGGTACTCTTCCCCTGTTACGGAAATGTATAGTTTATGGGTAACAATTATTTTGTAAAATCATAACTTCACTTTTTTACACAGGAATATTGACTCAAAGTTACTTCTGCAACTGCTTCGGCACTGCGAAAAGAGCAGTCCCATTTACAAAAGCTGCATTTACAAAAACACCCTAGGGGTAGGGCAGACAAGACTATGTGGAGTTGGGGCGTTCGAATTTGGTTTTAGTACAGATTCGACATATCTTTTTTTAACGGTGGTAGAGCCACGCAGCAGTTTTTGCTGTTGCACGTATGGGCCGGCTCGAGCCGGGTTGGTACCACGACCTCACAGAATACCGTCGTGAAGTAGAAGCTCTGCTTCTGCGTTTCGTCTGGTGAGTGCAGGTGGCCCAATTCCCCCCCCCCCCCCCCCCCCATCAACATGGTAGCGGAATTATACGTTAGACTACCCCAGGAGTGTACCAGCACCCCTGGAGAATCCCTCGCTGAGCATCCACGACCATGTTATTCCAACAAAATTCCGCTAAAAACATAACTGCTCGGGGCAAACTGAGCAACAAGACCAAGGCGACCCCTGCCACGCTATCCGTGAATTTCTGCAACATCAGGGGACTTCACTCGAATCTAAACGCCGTCCACTACCATCTCGAGACGGCGAAGCCGGCCTTGCTCTTTCTGACCGAGATGCAGGTTTCCTCTCCGGCTGATATTTTGTATCTCTCCTACCCGGGGTACAAATTGGAGCACTCCTTTGTGCCTCGGGCTGGAGTTTGCGTGTATGTCAGAGAGGACATCTGTTCTCGACGCCTCGGCAGTCTTGAAGGTTCGGACCTGAGACCTTTCGGACCATCCTATGGCTACGCGTAGACAGCGACGACCATCCGCGCGTCTACGGGTGCCTCTATAGGTCCCATAGCGGTAATGCCGAAACAGACCGACTCATTGACCACGTCCAAATGGCTACAGATTCTTTGCTACAACAGGTCCCATCCGCAGAGATCGTGATCCTTGGCGATTTTAACGCCCACCACGCCGAATGGCTCGGTTCACGTTTAACCGATCATGCGGGGAGATCTGTTTATGACTTTGTTTTGGCATATGGTCTGACACAACTGGTTACTTCGCCTACGCGGATTCCAGATGTAGAGGATCATACACCTTCCTTGTTGGATCTTCTGCTGACCTCTCATCCGGACGGATATCAGGTTTCCGTCGATGCCCCTCTCGGCTCTTCGGACCATTGTCTGATCCGGAGTGTGGTGCCACTCACGCTCCCCTCGCGGTTGCGTTCTGCAGGTTGCCGCCGTGTTTGGCATTACAGGTCGGCGGATTGGGACAGAAAGCGGTCTTTCTTTGCATCCTACCCATGGGGGCGGGTTTGCTTCTCGCCGGATGATCCCAGCACTGTTGCTGACTCTGTCACTGATGTGGTGCTACAGGGAATGGAACTATTTATTCCATCATCTGTGGTACCCATCGGAGGCAGATCTCAGCCTTGGTTTGATCGCTCCTGTAAGACTGCATTACGTTAGTAAGCAGGAGTGTTATCACGCCTGGAGTGCGGCTTCGGCGACTCGGGATGTAAACAGCAGCACACTTAAAAATAAGTATAACTTCGCCTCCAGGTCCTTCAAAAGAGTTATTATTTCCATAGCATAATGTCTTATGGGATTTTGCTATGGGGAAATGCGGCTGATTCAGAAACTATTTTTGTTTTACAGAAGAGGGCCATTAGAGCTATTTACAACCTAAAACCGAGAGAGACTCTTAGAGATAAATTTAAAGAAATAAATATATAAACTTTGGCCGCTCAGTATATTTACGAAAATTTTATGTATGTTCACAAAAACAAAGGTAGTTTTAGTAAAAAAAAGTGATGTGCATTCTGTAAACACTAGGAACAAACACAAGCTAGTGATACCAGTTTCTCGACTCCACAGAGTCAGTAATTCATTCTTGGGGCAATGTATACACTATTACAACAAGGTCCCGGAAAGTGTACAGGCTCTCTCTATTAGCAAGTTTAAATGTTTTGTTAAGTTGAAACTGTATAAAAAGGGTTATTGTAGTATAAATGAATACATGGTTGATAATAACCCCTGGGAATGAGGTGATCGCTTCCAAGCTGTTTCTAAAATAAATTTTGTACTTAAAAAGTTTGTACAACCATTATTGTAAAATTTGCTATAAAAAAAGTCTCGCTGGGTTTCTTGCTGGTTCTTCCCAGGACAGAAGTTTTTTTTCGAACCAGTGGTAAAGTAAAAAATGACTTTCAATAAGAATTACACATGTGATCTATACATAGGCTGCACTAAAAGTATCGGTAATGGAATATTTCCACTGTTCCTGTCATATTAAAATGTTTTTAATTGAAAACTCCTTGGTTTTAAAAATCGAATACCATTTATTTATTTAAAAAAAGATTACATTTATTTATTTAAAAAAAGATTCTCGGTCTTGTCACAAGGTTTTGTCAAACTTGTTTAGTCGTTGAGAAAATGGAATTGACTCGAGAAAATTCAAGAGCGATGATTTATTATGACTTTCGAAGTAGTTTAACACAAAACAGTGTGTTGACCGGATGATTTCTGCATTTGGTGATGAAGCCCCATCCAAAACCACAATTTATCGCTGGTTTGCTGAATTTCAACGTGGACGTGTCAAGCTCAGTGATGATCCCCGTCAAGGTAGTCCAAAAACTGCAGTCACCCAAGAAAACGTTGATGCTGTACGTAAGCTGATTGAGGAAGATCGACATGTGACATACCGCGAAATTCAGGCAACTTTAGACATTGGCATGAGTCAAATACAAATAATCTTGCATGAACAATTAGGTGTAAAAAGTTGTTTTCCCGATGGATACCGCATTCGCTCTGTGAAGAGCAAGAGCGGCTCGCGTTACTTGGTGCGTCAGAACTCTTGAAAGATTCCACGCAGGATCCTCAAATGCTGTATACAACATCGTATCAGGTGACGAATCCTAGATATACGCGTACGAACCCGAAACAAAAAACCAGTAACGAGTTTGGGTGTTCGAAAATGAGTTAAAGCCAACAATAATTGTTCGTTCACGGAGTGTTGCAAAAAAAATGGTGGCCACGTTTGTCTCCAAAAGCGGCCATGTTACGACTATTCCTCTTGAGGGACAAAGAACGGTTAATGCAGAATGGTATGCTAGCATTTGTTGGCCACAGGTCGTTTCTGAACTCCGTAAAGAGAACTGCAACCGCCGCATTATCCTCCATCACGACAATGCGAGTTCTCACACCGCACACACAACAAAAGAGTTTTTAGAGTAAGAAAACAGAATTATTAGACCATCCGCCGTACAGCCCCGACCTAAGCCCTAATGATTTCTATACTTTCCCTAAAAGAAAGAATAAATTGCGTGGACAGAGATTTTCATCACCTGAAGAAGCTGTGGACGCCTACAAAACGGCCATTTTGGAGACCCTAACTTCCGAATGGAATGGTTGCTTCAATGATTGGTTCCATCGTATGGAAAAATGTGTCTAATTTCGCGGAGAATACTTCGAAAAGCAATAAATACATTTTTAAATAGTAATGTTGTGTCACTTCCTTGATTCCCGAAATTTTCAGTGCTGCCCTCGTATTGAATAAAAAGTTATTCTATTCTATTCTATTGCCAAGGCAAAGTCAGAGCACATAGGCAGAATTGGCGAGAAACTCGTTTGCCTTCCTTCGGGAACCCGTGCATTCTAGTCTCTCGCCAAGGCTGTCCAAGGGAATTTCTGTAAGCCATCACTACCATCTCTGCACAGGGAGGACGACTCACTGGCCCAAGACGTAAAAGACAAAGCCGACCTTTTAGGTTCCCTTTTTGCGTTCAACTCTACTCTTGATGACGGGGGGAAAACACCGCCGACCATCCCGCGGTGTGAGTGCTCCACGCCGGATGTGCTGTTCTCACAGCGCTCGGTTCGCAAAGCACTCCTCTCCCTGGACACCCAGAAGTCGAGTGGGCCTGACTGAATTCCCCCAATTGTGCTGAGGACGTGTGCTCCGGAGTTGGCACCGGTCCTAACGCGTCTTTTCCGGTACTCCTACTCCCAAGGCGTAGTCCCGAATTCATGGAAGACAGCTTTTGTCCACCCGATCCCTAAAAAAGGCGACCGCTCAGACTCGTCCAAGTATAGGCCTATCGCGATCACCTCCTTGTTCTCCAAAATAATGGAATCAATTATTAACTGCCAGCTCATGCGGTACCTTGAGGATCACCAGCTGATTAGTGACCGCCAATACGGTTTTCGTCGGGGTCGATCAGCTGGTGATCTTCTGGTCTACCTGACCCATAGATGGGCAGAGGCAGTAGAGTCCAAGGGGGAGGCGTTGGCCGTTACTTTGGACCTTGCGAAGGCCTTCGATCGGGTTTGGCACAAAGCGCTTCTTTCGAAGCTTCCTTCCTATGGGCTTCCCGAGAAATTGTGCGATTGGATCACCAGCTTCCTTACAGATCGGAGCATCAAGATCGTTGTAGACGGTGCATGCTCCGACTACAAGCCTATTAACGCTGGTGTTCCACAAGGCTGTGTGCTATCACCAACGCTGTTTCTTCTGCATATCAATGATATGTTGCTAACTGGTAGCATTCATTGCTATGCGGATGACAGCACTGGTGATGCTCTATACACCGGCCGTGCCAATATTTCTCGTGAATACGTCGCCGAGTACCGGAACAAACTTGTGTCTGAAGTCGAGTCTTTGCTGAACAAAGTCTCGGATTGGGGGCGACTAAATCTAGTCCAGTTTAATCCTCAGAAGACACAAGTTTGCGCGTTTACCGCTAAAAAGAACCCCTTTGTCGTATCTCCTCAGTTTCAAGACACTCCCCTTCTTGCCTCAGCCAGTATCGGAATCCTCGGAGTCGACATATCGAGTGACGTGCAGTTTCGTGGTCACTTGGAAGAGAAGGCCAAATTAGCCTCTAAAAAGCTTGGCGTGCTCAGCAGAGCGGGACAGTATTTCATGCCGGCACACCGCCTGCAACTTTACAAGGTGCAGGTTCGGCCTGACATGGAATACTGTTCCCATCTCTGGGCAGGGGCTCCCCAGTGCCAGCTCCTTCCACTTGACCGCACTTGACCAGCGCAGAGCGGCTCGAATCGTCGACGACCAAGTCCTTTCCGATCGGCTCGATTCATTGGCACTGCGAAGAGATGTTGCATCCCTTTGCATTTACTTTCGCATCTACCACGGGGAGTGCTTTGAGGAATTGTTCGGATTAATCCCAGCTGCCAAATTTCACAAACGCACATCGCGATAGAACTCCCGATACCATCCACACCATCTGAATGATTGGCGGTCCACCACTGTGCAATTTAGAAGATGTTTTCTTCCTCGCATGACTTCCTTGTGGAATCGATTACCATCAGCGATTTTTCCGGACCGCTACAACTTAGGGACCTTCAAGAAAAGAGCGTACTCCTTTTTAAAATGCCGGCAATGCATCTGCGATTCCCTCCCTGGTGTTGCAGCTGTTCATGGGCAGCGGTAGTCACTTACCATCACGTAAGCCGCATGCTCGTTTGCCCCCTCTCCTATAAAAAAAAACTTAAATCTATAAAGTCAGTTTGCCCTAAACTCTGCTATCATAGTAGTAAATGAAACAATGTAATGTAAATTGTTATAATTTTGTTTTCTGAAAAACCTCTTTGACTACTCTATACTGCAACTTAATTCTTTATGTATAAATCCTCTAACTTTATTAAAAATTTGTTAATCCGCAAGCAGTCAAGACTAAATATGAATCTACTTTAATATCTTGTTTTATACATATATGTATATCAAGTAAATGTTTATTTATTATGTGCATGTTAAACTGCTGCAGTTATCTACCAAACAGATAAATACTTACTCAGCTACCACAGTTTTCCCAGCAGAAGTATGCGCTGAGACTAAAACAGACTGCAAGTTGTCTATACACATTATGGCTTCTTTTTGAAAAGGATCCAGAATAAAACTGTACTGCTTGGCTGGTTCTGTTGTAATGGGCATAAGAGGAGCATACTCGTGATTTGGAGGTATGGCTACCTCATGTGTACAACCTTCCGTTGTCTCCAATGTATGTATTACAATGCGAGAATTTAATATATCTAAGCTGAAAAACACAACATTTTATGAGTATAATATATTACACAAAATTATGAGAGCCTACAGACGTAAAAATTGAAAAATGTATAATAACCAGGACACAGGCTTATATCGGCTGTTTCCAACTGCTGGCTTGCTACATAATAATAAGCTCTGGACTCAAATGTGGAAGGCGGTACTGCTTGATACAACTCACATCATACTAATCTACTAACCAAGTCAAGACTAAAAATAAAAACAGCTTACTTTAAATCGGCAATGAGATCAGACTCATCTTCTTCCTGTTTCGGCTTTTTAGCTTCTGTAGTATCAGCATATTCAACTTCTTCGTGAGTGCGTTTGATAGTAGCGCTATTAGATTCTTTTGCTTCCTCACTAAAAAGATAAAATCAAAACAAATATAAATCTTAATAAGAACAGTATAAGAAAATAGGTTATAAAGCAACTCACACGGAGTCCTCGTTAATTTTCAAATTTGGAAATTGAACAGCAGCTTCGTTTTCAGTTGATTCGTCAAAACAATCAAATAAGCTATTCACATCTGCCATCTTTCTAAAAATAAGGTAAATATTACAGTAAATAAATAGCCATTTCTTTTGCAATAAATTTAATAACAACAACACACGTACTTTAAATTTGCTATAGGGTAGGGATGTTCGATGATCATCGGTGTCAAAAATTAAAACATCGATGTTTTAACATCGATGTTGCCACATTTCAAACATCGAAACATCGATGTCCATAAACTCATAATCGATTATTGGGTACTTGCGAACCCGCAAAATCAATATCAACTAAATCTTGCATCTCTAAAATATTAAAAATTTTGAATAATTGAGAATGCTTGAACGCATCGATAACCAAAAAATATATCATTATTAGGTATCAAATTTAACTCAAGTGTCAACTGTAATGTAGCAGATGCCACTGATTTCGTTTGTTATTGGTGTCGTTGTTGGTTGTCTGTTTCTTTATCAGTTGTTTTAAAAAAAATCCGATGTTTGATCTTGAACACGATGCAATGCACGTTTACAACAATGTTATTGGTTCTACCTATCTAAAATAAAAAAGAAACGTGCGGTGAGATATTTGATCACAATCGCAACATCAACGCCAACAGAGCAGTTTTCTACCAACTTCAAAAAGGACCACTAAAATGTTGAATATTTCTTGTTGCAAAATATTGTATTATAATAAAAACCAGTTTGTTGGCACTTTATAATACTTTGCAGTGGTGTAGCTAGCGCCGTATCAGCCGTATTAATAATACGGGGCCCCCGGACTACAGAGGCCCCGAACGTATGTAAGCAAAAATTCTAAGGATTTCTATGGGCAGGATGGTGGTTTGAATTGTTTGGCTAGCTTAGTTCCTAGGAGTATTAATTGTAAGTAATATCTTATAATCAATATATAATTATTTTAATTCAATGCGAGAGTTTTTATTCCTTTTGTGAAAAACCTTTTCCCTTCATTTGGGCCCCCCGACAAATTTTGATACAGGGTCCCTCTAAGGCGCGCTACTCCACTGATACTTTGTATATTTATTTTAATATAACAGACATATGTTGTAATAATATTTTAAAATTGAATATAGATAGAGGCGTTGAGCCTGCAATTGTGTTGTTGTGTTTCCTTATAACTTTTTTCTGGGTGAACCGATTTCTATGATTTTTTTTTATTTGAAAGTTGTGCTTCGTCATGTGGTTCCATATAAATTTGACCCATATATAGTGACTAATAATTTTGAATTATCCTCAATCTATACTTAATATAATAAAGCGGAAGATTTTTTTTGTTTTTTTGTTTGTTTAAACGCGCTAATCTCTGGAACTACCAGTCCTATTTGAAAAATTATTTTTGTATATTATAGCCAGATTCATGTGGAATAGTATAGGCTAGCATCAAGCTATATTACTCAGCTAGCCTTAAATATGGATATTTGTTAAGCAAGTCAGAAGAAAAAGCACTACCGAAAAGATTTATCCGCGTACGCTGGTGTTATCGTTAGGGATACGTAAATACAATGTTCTAGAAAAGTATATACCTTTACTCCGTCAAAAAAAATTCCGCGATACCATATGTCTATTTCTTATACATAAGCCATAATTTGGTATTTTGTGACAAAAAAATATTGAAAATTTAAAAGTGATTTATGAGCGTTATTATTAGGCATGGCCTATTTATCCTTACGAACGAAAGTTACTCAATCATCAAGACAATTTTGTGAAGATAAACTTTGTTCTTTATACCATGTTGTTTGGACGTATAGTTTAAGAGATAATATACGAGAGAATATATATTATTTTAATAAAATTAAAATAATTCAATACTTGGCTGGGCGCGCGAACGACGCTTAAACCCTAGCCGTTATAAAATGCTTGAACTAGGTCATGTCGCGCACCTCGGACACGTGATGACGCGGGTGAAACCGCGGGGCACATCTAGTAATTTATATTGAATTCAGTTTTACAAACTTTTTATTTTTAATTATTTTCAATAATTGGCTCAACTCTTTATCAACAGCGAAACAGATTGAAAGTCAAAATTACTATTTCTTCAATCAATCGATAAAAATATTGGACTTTATAACAAATGAACTAGATATTTGTGAACTTCTTCAAATTTTTTTTTTACTGTTTGACACTAGATAGTTTGTTAATTTCTTTTATTTCATTTCTTTTAAACCATAAACAACGTGAAAATTTTTTTATTCATCTAATTCTAACCTATTAAATACATGTTAAAAAAATCATCGATAATGGCTAACATCGATGTTTTGAGTAGGATAAACATCGAACGTCGAGGTTGAGCTATCAAAGTCAACATCGATGTCATCATCGATGTTTCTACAACATCGACATCCCTAATTTGCTCGCAGTTTCGGTTTTTTTAATAAATCCTGGCTCTGGGTTCTAGCCCTTCTGGGCCTGAAGTTACAAGATATAATTATCCTTCATAGTACACTGCTTCACAATATGTTGATGCGTCACATTCTGCAGCCCTTTTTGAGATTTTGACGGTAACTTAAGCCAGCAGACAGCTGAGAGTTGGCGATGGTATATCAAGGCGCCTAAGCAGACAGACTTATCTTGCGAATCACATCACCATCAGAGTACTTGTTTCACCGTTTCCACTAATAGTTCACATACGCAGACATTTAATACACAAAATCGCACCACTTTTACATATCAAAATCCACTTCAAACCATTATTTAAACAATAATACAGGAGCAGCATTCCGTCTTCGGCCAAGTTCCCACTAGCTTGCTACCACAAACTATATAGAAACACTACGCGTTCTTGCTACATATTTATTTATCTATGGTTCCCACCAAAATCTCCTCACAGTTTCAGTTTATATTTTTTACCATAGAGTATACTATATAACTAACTATACAGGTTTATAACAGTCCTATGCAGGTTTATACAAAGCACAAACTAACTAAAACTCAGAAAACAATTAATTATATATAATTTTATTTTTATGGAACCCTAATTCGTTTCCTAAAAGGAAAGTAGCGTAAATTACTCCTTATAACATCAGCAATCTACCCGTCAAAATCGGTCCAGCCGTTTCGGAGATTAGCTGGAACAAACAGACAGACAGACACACATACAGACAAAATTTTTAAAAATATCTCTTTTGTTATAAGTACCGTATATACTTCCCTATGTAATAAGTAAAAAGTTGTTATTTTGATATTAGAAGCAGACACTCAAATTTTATTTACTTTTATAGATTTATAATCAAATTTGTTAAGTGTCGATTGAGTGCATTCGACACTTAATAAATTTGGTTTATCAACTTTTTGTGCTTATCATTGCATTTTAAAAGTATTTATTTGCCACAAAACGATACAATGTTAAAATTTAAATAGACAGCTTAATAATGAATTGTGACAAAACGGTCTGTGACTCAGTTGTAACGGGAAACCCATTACTCCTGCTATTCTGCCACAGCCCTTGCGCAGTATTCATACAGTTTCTTAGGCAAGTGATGAAACACAAGTATCAGCAATAAATATTTAAATAAAATTCAAACAATAAATAATAGTTACTAAATTATGAAAAACAAAATACAAAAATATAAAAATGTTCACTAATTTGACGGGATAGCAGAGCCACTCTAATATAAAAATGTGCATGCTTGTGGCGCGCGCGCGCGCGCGCGTGTGTGTGTGTGTGTGTGTGCTGTAATTATTTGAGTATTCATATATAAGAAGATATTAAATTGCGTCATAATTAAGTGGTTGTAAATACTTTTTTACTACATCTTTACATTCAAAATGGGTCATTGTGTAAATTCCTACATGTTTATTATTTTTGTTGTATAATTCTGCTACGCGTTTACTATACTGAACTATAGCAAAAAAGTGTGAGTATTTGGAACTTGTGCTACTAATTCTTTTCTCCTCATTTGTAAAGTATTTGGATTAAAAGATAGGGACTTATGTTTCATTAATATTTGTGCAGTACATCAATTTTTCGTACTGATAATAACTGTGTTTCATTGTAAAGACTTGTAGTAGAATATATTCTGTTTTTAAAATACCTGTTTTTAATTAAACCTCGTTGGACACGTTCCAAGTGGATAAATTTTGTTTTGCAAGCAAGCAATTTGCTTCTAACAATAAGGCATAGCTGAGGCAGATACATAAATTGACAGCTGTAGTGTAAATGATTAAAAAGTATTACCATTCACTCTGGAGTGTTTACTATTGCCATTTAAGAAATTTACTTAGGAAATAGGTGACTACATATTCATTACACATAATGTAAAATACAACAAATTTTTTAATAAATTAAAGTTATTGTTATTATATACATATATATATATATATATATATATATATATATATATATGATTTATATTTTATAAATTAATTGTGGCGTGATCTCGGAGTTCAAGTGACTGAACTCCAGGAATTCCTGTTTTCAATGATGTACCCACGTTAGCTACTGGTGCCAACAATTTATCTTCTGCGTAACTGGAATCACTTCAACTATCGCTCTTTAACTCTATAATAAAGGGTTCATCTAAATACGCGTGTTTTTGCGTGTATTCATTTTCATTTTTTTTTCACATGATTACAAATGTTTCTCCACTCTACCGGTGTAATTTTATGGAATGTATCTTCAGTTGATTTTTGAACATTAACATTTTAAACGTTATAAAATGTTTGAACATTGGCATTTGAACACCAGGTTATCCAACATTTTTGTCTGCTACGTTCCTTTTCATAGAGCTCCATATTATTTAAATTGCGTTCAAGTCGCAATGAATGTTCAGGTGGCAATTTAAGAACATTATGGCCATTACTTTCATCAAGTTATCAATTTGATATTCCGGAGCAGGTTTATTTTTCTTTAATAACTCATATTTTTTATTTATTTCGGTATGGTAGGAATTTTTTTTTCAAACTTAATAAAATTCGTGAATTTTTCTTCTTATAACACCATTGTCAAAATTATCAATTTCTTGTTTCCCGGTTTTTCTTTGCCCTTTTTGCCAGTGGTAGAAATTTTAAAATTGGATTCTTTAGCGTGT